GAGTTTGACTCTGTAATGTTAGCAGCTGGCTCCAGCTGGGAGAATGCCACCTGGGTTTTATAAACACTGCCTGCACAGTGGGTGGTAGATAGTCTAGGGCATTTGGGTTCATGAGGAACAGAAATGAAGGGTGTCACAATGGGAGGTTTTAAACCATGAAACTGGTAGTGCAAGCAGTCATTTCAATGACAGTAAGCACCTTGGCTGGGTGGGGGGTTGGAGGCACTAATTCCTCATTTGGGTGTGCAGTGGCTCACTAAAGTGCCCATATTTTTATGCCTGTGTCATTGATTGGGAGCCAGAAGAACTTTTGATCAGCTCCAAGAAACCATACCTCATTCCCAAGGCCGTTGCAAGCAAATGCAGCAAGTTAATTGCCTCTTTTATTTTCACTCCAGCTTTCCCCTAAATTCTAATAAGCAATACATGAACTTAGCTCACCTCAGCCTCAGGTGTAAAAGTGCTTTCTTATGTGAGTTCCTCTGTGCTAAGCAAGAATAAGGAGCATGTTTCAAAATAGACATAGGGAGTTCAATAAGCCTGTAGAAGATCTGTAACTGAAAACCCATAGGTGAACTACCAGAGTAGGATCCATTCAATGTGCCCTCCAGGAAATGCACCATTTGTTTGACTTTGAGGTGACAGGCACCACTTCACTTAACTGCTGTCTTCCAGAAGACAGTCTGGCAAACATTCCTTGCCAGATTTTTTTTTTTTTTTGCTAATCCCTAATCTGCTGTCCATCTTCATATTTTATTATTTTGAGAAATTTATCTGAATGCAATCACATAGTGTATAGTCCTTTGAATCTGGCTCTTTCTCACTCAGAACAAGACCCTTGATGCTTCATATTTCATTCCTTTATGTTGCTGAATAGTATTCTGCAAAATAGATATACCACAGTGTGTATAGCCATTCATCTATTGAGGAACATTTTATTTCTTTCCAATTTGGGGCCCTTACATTTCATTTTCTTAGTTTGTACTTCCTTAATAGTTAATGATGCTGACCATCTTTTCATGTACTTATTCATTCATTCATTTTTTTTTTAAAGATTTATTTATGTATATATACAGAACTGGGGTACAGGCCAGAGGTGCAGGGGCGGTGAGAGGATTCACTAGAGACAGAGTGGGGAGCAGAACAGGCAGATCAACGAAGTACACTGCTAAGGGGAGCGGTGGGCGGGTCAGGAGAGGTCTGCCGTGCCATGTGGGTCACCTCCAGAGCTGGGGATCAAACTCAGGCCGAAGTGGCTTTAGCTTCTTAGTGCTGCTCTTTAACTCACTGCACCACCAGGGAGGGCCCTCATCATTCATTTTTGAGGAAAGGTCTTCAAATACTGAAGTTTCACCAAGAAAACATGGTTTGTCAGTTGTTCTTTCAAGTCCAAGGAAGAGATTTTAGCTTCGTTTAGCTCTGAAATAGTTACAGTTCTTTTCATTTCATTGGGATAACCACTGACTTTAGGAAGCAACAGAAGTAGTTTATGACTATTATACATGCCATCAAGGAGAATAATAAAAAGGTTTATGCTCAGGTCTCCTTGGTGGCAGAAGGGTTAAAGATAGTGCTATCAAGTTATTGGCAGCCACTGAAGCACAAATTCGATACCCTGCCAGCCAGGGAGCTGACCCACATGGTATAACAGACCTCTCCTGTCTTGCCCACTGCTCCCCTCAGCCCCATACTTCAGTCAGTCTGCCTGTTCTACTCCCCACTCTGTCTCTGATGAGTCCTCTCACCTCCCCCACCCCCACACCTCTGCTCTACACCCCAGTTCTTGTATGCATAAATAAATAAATCTTTTTTAAAAAACGGTCTATGCTCAAGGTTCAGAGAGCTTAATAAGATGGCTATTTCTTCATGTATTATCAGAGACATTACTTAGGAAGCTGATTTCTTGATTGTATTAAAGGACATCTTCATACAGCAAATATACATATCCAGGCAGAAATAAACAAGAGAAATGGACACATGTAAGCAGAGGTGCAAGATTTAGAGCCAACCTAGAGTCAGTGAGGATACCTCCCTTGATTCCTGAAGAATTTCCAGTTCTTCATCTACTTAACTATCTATGTGTTAATTGGATTTATGTAACAACTGTTTCAGGGAATTTGGTAGGGATAGCTTTGAGACCTGCATATACTTCCGATTCTTGGATTTTTCCAAAATACTTGAAAACTCTTCCAATAAATCCCATTTTAGGTTCAATGAATATTTATCTGTTAAAAGGTTGGAAGGAATAGGGGAGAAGCTTGGAGGAGAGTGGTTATGTACCAGTGTGGTTCCCAGGAAAAGGGGAAGTTCCAGGTTCCCAGTACCACTCAAGGTAGGTGGAGCTGAGTTGGGGGAGAAGAATCTGGCGAGGAAACAGAAGAGGAAAGAAGGAAAAAAGAGAGAGAGCCAGAAGGAGACCTGCAGACGGCACAGGAAGCAGGGAAAGCAGCTGCACTGGCTTCTCGGCCTTGGACTGGTTGAAACTGATGTGGGTGAGAGACCCATGGGGAGATTAACAAAGGCAGCTTTTACCTTGATTTTGATTTTATTTTAGACTTTTGGTGGGCTTTTGAACCAACTCTGTTTGGGCATTTGCCCATAAAAGGAGAAGTAACTTTGGGTGCTGAATTTGGAGACTATTTATCTTATTTGTATTACACACTAGCTGTATTAAAGTTTCTTTCCATTCATGGTCTGTGCACAAGAATATTTTCTCTTGATGTAGCAGATGGCAGAACCTATTTAGAATGATAGGTTTGGGGGTTCTGTGGGTTTATGTTGGGCTTGAAAAAAATCTCACAGCTGTGATCTGAGCACAAAGGTCCTTCCTGTTTGTGGTATATGTACGCCCATGTCACCCTATGGAACAACAGTGACAGCCAAAGACCGTAATGACTGGAAACAGGACAAATAGCATACATTCTAGACATGTGTCTCGGGTGAAGAAACCTTCCAATGTAGTTCCATGAATGCTCCAAAGAATCCTGGATGTACCCACTATATCAGTGGTTTTCAAGAATTTTTTTACTTCTCCTTGGACAAAGACTGAGAGAAAATGAGTAGATACCACCGTGATTGCTGTGTAGCAAAGAAAAAGAATGGATCAGAGAATAGTGTCTTTTTAATTTGTTTAATTATATAAAAATCATAAACACACAAGTATATGTTTAGTTGTAACAAATGTTTCACAAATCTTTATTTGCCGTCACTATATTCAGTATTCTCATTTTGTGGTATTTGATTTTCTTTTTTAAAAAAGATTATTTATACATACAGAACTGGGGTACAGGCCAGAGGTGCATGGCCAGTGAGAGGATTCACCAGAGATAGAGTGGGGAGCAGAACAGGCAGATCCACGAGATACACTGCTGAGGGGAGCAGCAGGTGGGCCAGGGGAGGTCTGCTGTACCATGAGGGTCACCTCCGGGGCAGGCAGGAATCGAACTCATGCTGCGTGGCTTTAGCTTCTTAGTGCTGCGCTTTAACCCACTGCACCACCAGGGAGGGCCCTGATTTTCTTTTAATGCTGGTCACAATCTACTAATTTTGTTTCACATTTTCCTGGCAGGACTAGAGATTCTATTTGGAGAGCTGTCCCACAGTGCAGTGAAAACTGCAGCTCAGTAGCAGAGTATTCAGCTGCTCGAAATTTGTTTGACAGACTCCAAATCACAGTTTTTGCCAAGAATGGAAACAATTCTTTTTTTTTTTTTTTTCATTTTATTGATATATTGAACTTGTCTCTACTTCGGATTAAAGTTTAAAATTTAACTACAGTGTGATAGGCAAAGTAATGCCTACCCCATCAGGTCTCTGTCCTAATCCCTAGAATTTGTGAATTTCTTACCTTACATACAAAGGAGGGGAATATGCAGATAGCATTAGGTTGTTAATTAACTGACCTTAAAATGTGTGATTTTCCTGGATTATCTAATAGCGCTCAATGGAATTACAAAGGCCTTAACCATGGAACAGGGAGTCAGAAGAGGTGATCAAGTGTGTGAGCAGGAGGGCACTTGCTTTTTCCAGCTTTGAAGATGGATGAAGGGGGTGGGTTACTTCTGGAAGTGGAAAAAGCAAGGAAGTGGATCTCCCCCAGGAACCTACAGAAAGGAATGCAGTTTCCCCAGTGCTTTGATGCAAGCCTGGTGAGACCCAGGTCAGACTTTTGACCTACATAACTGAAGATAACGATTTCGTGCTTTGAAACTATTAATATCTGTGATAATTTGTTATAGCGACATGCACATAATCTACAAATGCAGGTAGAAAAATCTAATGTAATCACTTGCCTTGAAACTAACTACAAATCCCATAATTCTTACCTGTGAGGAAGGATCTGCAGCTTCAGATAAATTACAAGTACAAGTAGAGTTACTTGGCAACCAGAAAAATAAACAGTTTCAGAAGCAGACGGCCAGAGTTAGGATCGCCAGCATTTTCTTCCAGACTGTTTCTCTTGGTACAGACTTCTGCTTTGTCCCTCTTTAACTGTTTTACTTTTAAAAAAAATCAATAATATCAGTAATTTAAAAGATAAGTATATATATATTGATTTAAGATTATTTTTTCAAATATGGAAATTCAGTGGGTGCTAAAATGTGAAGCAACAATGGCTCTCAGAGAATCCCTAGGTAAAGAAACATTTAAGTCAGCACTTACAAATGATATTGGGTGACTGGTTCATTTTAAATTCTTTTTTAAAAAATGTGCATACATGCTTTCATTAGCAATTTTGCAGGTGTTTTTGTTGGTTTTACGGTTTCCCTAGTGTCTGTGAACCCAAGTTACATACTGTTGAGCTAGATAGATAGGATCATAATCTCATATTTGATCTTATTGAAGGATAAATTTCTTAGGAAACATTCATTCTTCTGAGGAGAACAATTTAGCACCATGCAAATAATGTTGTCTTTATTGTAATTCATTGTGAAAGGAATAGATTTTCTTCAAAGGATTCACACTTTTGTTTTTGTCATCAGTAGGTTTGCTGGTAAAGGATGTGGGCTCTTCAGTCCTATAGCTGTGAGCACTGTGGGAGTGACTTCATCAGTGACCGAGCTCTGAAGTATCATATTCGACAGAAACATCTGGGAAAAGTTCACTGTGAAAAATGGGGCCAGGAAGTTCTCAGGGAGAAACTCCAAGATCACAGTAAGGTATAAGGAGGTGAAAAATTTGGGAGTGCCCCCACTTTTTTTGAACCACACACACCATGCATTTGTTGTTTGGTTTAGGTACTTTGTTTTCTTCATCCATGTTAACAGGAAAACTAAAAGCTAAAGCAAGAACTTATTGCCACTGAACAGGTGGTGGAATGCAAGATGCAGCTGGGAAGGGACCATTTCACGGGACTCCTGGGAAGGACTGCAGAATTCTCTGGAAACCGTGTCATAACCAAGGCAGCTGAAGTTACTTAAATTATTACCCGACAGGGCTTGGTGGGGTTAGAGGATTCTCACAGTCCTTGAGTTTTCCTATTTTTTTTTAAAATAATATATTAGTTTATTTTTACATCATTTTGTGCATTTTTCCATCTCAGTTGTAATCCCCTTGGGCTTCCCATCACCGAATCACCCATGTGCCATCACCAAAGTCCAGTGCATTTCCCTCCCCCCAAGTTCTCCTATTTTTAAAGTGACCATAGAGATAAATACTTCCCTGCTTCCTCCTCAGAACTCACAAATGTAGAAACAAAGACTGAGTTAGGTTCAAGGATTTTCCCATGCCCTGCAAATAGTGGGTGTCAGAAAGAAAACACTAGAATATCTTTCTTCTGATTTTTAAAACAAGACCTAGTGCATTTTAGAAAGTCTCTCCTTTTCAGCACTGTGGTTCTTCTCATGGTTCACTACTTTATTAATCAACAGCAGTTTTCCATCTGTTTCAAAAGAACTAATGGTCTTTGCTCTTTCGAGAACTCAGAATGAGGATTCTCTATGCCTGTGAGTGGGAGCCTTTAGTGAGAAGCCAAATGAAAAACAGCAGATCTTTCAGGTTACTCTTACGACTCCTGTGAAATCTCTTCTTGTTCTCAGTCTGTGCATGACAGCTCTACCGTGGTGACACATAAGCTAAATGGGGAGAATTTAGAAGAGAGGAATATGAAGCACACGGCTAAAAAGATATCAAAAACCTGCAGGATGTGTTCTAGGCACTTTGGCACCGTCCTTGGTCGGGAAAAGCACGAGATACAAGAGCATCACTTCACAGCCAGTAAAAGAGGTAAAGGAGATGCCAGCGCTTCCCTCTGATGGGCTTTGCAGACCTGAGAAACCTATTTGAAAGGTTCCTTAGTGCAGGCATTACATGTTGTTTATGGAAACAGGACATTGAGAAGGAAGAGGCTAGACCAGGATGTGGCTTGAGATGGCACCTTTTGGGGTGGCAGGGGTGCAGTATAGTTCTTTGGAGTCACATGCAGAGAAATAGAAGCACATTCCAAAGAGATGACACCACTGGAAATGGGATTTTCAGGGCCTCTAGCCAGCACTAGTCAGGGTCCAGGCCGGAAACAGTTTTGTCCCTGTCAAAGTTAACGACAATAGGGTCGTCCCTGTTGGCACAGTGAGTTGAAGTGCAGCACTATGAAACTACCCACAGCCACTAAAGCTCATGTTTGATCTGGAGCCAGGGAGCTGACCCAGATAGTACCACAGACTTCTGTTGTCTCACCTGCTGCTCCCCTTAGCAGTGGATTTCAGTCAATCCGCCTGCCCTGCTCCCCACTCTGTCTCTGGAGAGAGAGATGCCCACTACCCCACCTCTGGCCTGTACCCCAGTTCTTGTATGCATAAATACATAAATCTTAAAAAAATTAACCACATTACAAACAATAATTTAAATATTAAACATTAAAATGAAAAAATATTTTAATTGAAAAACTAAAAATAGATGTTGTTCTATCTACTGCTCTCGTTTTTATGCTGTGTCCTTTAACATGGTTGATGCTTTATGAAAATACCGATTTATTTAAAAAATTCCTAGAAAACAAAATTGACTTTAAACACAAAGTATGTCACTGAAAGGTGACCAATTTTTGATGATCCTTAATGACACAGTATGTAAATTGATTGGTATGCCACATACAAAACAATCAAAGTGTAAAAAATCCAACCAAAGCCCATTCTGATAAACCTTGAATTAGGGACTATGTGTTTCCTGAGTGCTGATACATAGTTGCTTGGTCTGTTTAGTTCTGAATCTGTCCTAATTTCCATTCTGATTTCTTCTGTAATCCATGACTTATTTTAAGTTGTTTTTTTTTTGTTGTTGTTGTTGTTTTTAACAATGTGGTTTTCTGATACTGATTGCTCATTTAATTGCTTGGTAGCCAGAGAGTGCAATCTGTGTGATATAAATTCTCTGGCATTTGTTCAGCTTTTTCTATAGCCAAGTATATATTCCATTTTTGTGACTGTCCCATGTGTACTTGCAAGGGAAAATCCAATAGAAAGTTCATTCCCAGAGAAGATTAGTGATTTTTTTTTTTTTTACCTCAGGGTAATTGAGCCCTCTGCTAGGGCCACTGTAAAATTAATTCTCAATGATAACATGGATTTGTCCTATTAATCCCACTGAGGGTTACTCTCTGATTACAGATTTGTAGGGATTTTTTTCTGACCCACCCAATGCAAACATTATGGAAGTTTTCGTTACTGTTGAAAGGAATCAGTCAGTATATACACCCCCAAATATGCATTGATAATTATTTTATTTTTGCATAAAACTGAGGTGTAGGCCAGAGGTGCTGGGTGGGGGATGGAGTGGTGAGAGGATTCTCCAGAGACAGAATGGGGAACAGAACAGGTGGATTGAAACAGGTGGATTGATTAAAACACACCGCTGAGGGGAGAAGCAGGGAGACAGAATAGGTCTGCTGAGCCTTGTGGGTCACCTCCCTGGCCAGGGATCTAACTCAAAAGGTAGCCTAACACTTACCAGTTTCATTGACGTGCTCCATTCACTGAATCTAGTGGTTTAATCATCCATTTCCTTCGATGAAGGATAGTTCAGTTTCATCTGCTCTCCTCTTTTAGATAAGCAACTCTGATATCCTCATTTTTAAAAATGTAGTCTCTACTGAATTTTAGATGTTGGCTCAGTTTTTTGGTTTGTTTGTTTTTTGATAATTCTAGGCAGACCAAACCAAAGATAATGCAGATCAAATGTGGTCTGTGGGCTGACAATTTGAGACCTGGACCTCTAGAATAGATGAATCAGTTTGGAATTCTTTACCTGGAATCATTTTACTAAAACCTGTTATTATACATGTTTTTCATTTAGAAACTTAAAATAATTTAGTAAATTGGGGGCAAGGTTTTTTCTGACATAAACCTGTGTGAATAGCTCAGCTTTCTAAGAAGTCTGCCATTTCTTCTTAGAGGCCTTGAGCTAAAATGTCAGCTGAGCCAGAGGGTGTGCAGAGAGATGGGACTCCCTGATACCACAATAAGGAGATCTTGGTGATTAACTTGACAATTTGCACCCAAAATTGGATTTTTGCCTAAGATACACACTATCAGTTTCTGGGCAGTGATTATCAAGTCCTGATTGTTTTGCTATGCAGCCCAAATGTCCACAGGATTTTCACCTCATAATATGTTGGAGTGTAAAAATTCCCAAGAGCTACAGAGGTTTGCAGATGAAAAAATTCGACCTTCCCCTGGTCCTCTGAGTGCTGCTTGTGCAGCTGAAGTCAGTGCTGTGCTCCAGCTGATCCAGGCTTGCTTTCCAGTGCCAGCCTCCCGAGTAATCCAGGTAATCTGAGCCCCCAGCCCCGTGGCCAACCCAGAACTCCTCTTCCTTGTGGGTAATGCACATCACTGGGACAGCGCCACATGTTCAAAGGGCAGCTTTGCCTTCTGTGTGAGGTAACACAGGCCTGCCCCGGCCCTTTGAAATGCCAGGCAGACTGCAGGCTGGCCAAGCAGGAGTTAGCCGTGCAACAGCTGGAACCCATTAAGGTTGGCAGTTTTTGCCCTGGGGACAAAAGGGCCTTTACATTGTTAGGGCCAAGGACTTGGTTCTCACTTGACCAGTATTTATTTATGCTTAAGGGAATTTGAGGCAAAGGAGGCTAGCCTGCCCCCTTGGGACCCTATTTTATGCCTGAGAAAACTGCCAGTGTGGCAACTAAGTACCACACTGGTGAGTTCACTGTCAGCTTCGAGATGATCCCCGTATTCTGAAATGGTTACCCATAGAGCACAGGGCCGCTTGGTAAACATTTTCTTGAAGGAAAAAAAACAAAACAGGTCTCAGTGCTGGGAGAGTTTTATTCTGAAAATTTATCTGTTTCTCATGGTAAAACACACATCATTGTGATAAAGCCATCTTCAAACCATAGTTTATTTAAAAGCAAAAATTAGTGTTCAGTATAATTCAATAGCAAATATGAGTTATGAGTATGATCAATTCTAACCAAGGTAGCAATGGTTAAAGCCTAGAAAGTTCTTCAACAGTGATAGAACGTAGGCACAGAGCTAGGAATAGAGAACCAGAATCCTGGCTCCAGTCCAGCAAGAAGAGCACAGATAAGGGCTAGTGACCAGTTAGATTCCAGAATTGATGTGGCCAGTATTGGTTCTTGAAGATTGATAGTACTAGTTAGCATATCGTAAAGTTTCAGGTTAAGGAAGCTGCAAACTGTATTTCTCCGATGAGGTTTAGGTTTTGTTGATTAGTTTCACCCATTTTGACTGAGTCTAGAATGAGTTAAGTAGTGGGTTGAACAGTATGGCAGAAGGCACCTGTTTTAGTTAGTCCAGATGAAGCAGATGCCGAATGACTTTGGAGTCAAGGGTTCTGACGATGACTTGTAGCCTCTGGATTTAAAATAGAACAGAGTGTTTCTGTTATGGACCATTGCAGAGGCAGCTTCTTGATTCCTAGATCTGAGCTCAGGCTGTCTGTTCTGGAACTGCCCTAATAGCATTTAGATTCTAGGCACACTTAGGCTGGGCAATAGGGCCCAGTGCAGGCCAATTCTACAGTGTTGTTCTGAAAGTCATTTTTAAATGTTAGCCTAGAGCTTATTCTTTTAGGTATTCCAGTGATTCCCTGAAATAAATCCCCTCTTGCTTATTAAAGTAACGGGAATGTTTTCACTTACATGTGACTGCACTGTGGCACTCCCATTTGGAAATGTTGCTCTTAAGTATCCTCTATCATCTTCTGCAGTGGTGGTATACATACATGCCTTCCCCTGTCACCTCCCCAGCTCTTGTTGGTTGGTGGTGTTTGTTCTCCTGTTTTCTTTAATAGTAAACAGTTTTCACAATTCATGAATTCTCCCCTCTGGCCAAGCTACTGCTTGTTCTTTGGGTTTTGAGCTCAGGCTCCTACCCCCCACCCCAGTTGGTGAGATGAGGCACTTCCTGGCTCCTTCAGCACTACACAGAGCCTGGCTGAACTGACTGCTGGAAGTCCTGTAATTAACATACAATGAGTGGCAGAGAATACAGAGTTTTGAAATGATTTCTCATTTTTTGTGGTTGCCTAAGTTACTTTGTACCACATCTTGCTAAAGAACCTCCCTTGTGTACTTGCAACCTATGGTTTTCCTTGAACACAGAAGAAGACAGACATGTTGCTAATTAAAGTTTTGACTTTTATAAAGTCTTACTTAGTCAGAGATTTGAAGTGAATACTCAAGAATTATCATAACAGAATATTTTATTACAATCATGCATGATCTATCGAGGAACATCATAAACTAACATCTGCCAGAAACATCAGTCACTTAAGGTTCTAATTCTCACAGGTGTGGGTTGTGTGGACACCTATGCCCACCCAGGTATCCTCTGAGGGCTGCCCCCTGTAAGTCCTGAAAGGAGTAGTGAGGTATGGTAGATAAGTACAAAGAGGAAGAACAGAATAGAGTCCAGGCACTTAGAGTGTCTAACAAAGAAGCCTTTATTGGAGTGCTCCCAAGTGAGACTCACTCACCACACCCCTCCCCCCGACTCCCTCCCCCCCCCTACCAACACACAGTCTCCAGCCAGACTCTGGTGGGCTTTTAAGGGCTACTCCCGGTCAAGTATGTGGGAGATAGGGGCTGGGTGCAGCTGGACCGAAGGTGGGAAGATATGATTGGTTGTTTTAGATCCTTAAAATATGGGGCCAGTTCTGTGCCACTGTCTTCAGGTGCTAGTCAAAAAGTTAATGCAAGGACAGGTTTGAAGACCCCTTTTCCTGCCCCCCCCCCACATTTTCAGGAACCCATGTGTCTCTTGGGTGACCTTTCAAGTTCCAGGCTGAGTTCTGTGTGCTTAATGACACTAACTCTTGAGATGGTGGATGAATCCACCCATTGATTTTCGGAGAGTCTGAGGATTTCTGGGTCTAATCATTTATGAGGATTCTCAGGCCTTTTCTGCATATGGTGATTTATCTTCTACAACTGAAGCTAAATTCTTAGTAGAACGTAATAGAGGTTCTTTCTATGTGTGTTAGGGGTAAGTTAAGGGTAAAAAAACACATATTCAAGCACATCTCCAATATTATTTGTCTCGAAAACGCTACAACCTGAAGTCTGTGGTTTACTCCACATTTTCTCCACACCTCGTCCTTTGTTCCCACAGGGTGGTTCTTTTATAAAGGGCACTGACACTAAAGGGTACTCTGAGATTGATGTCGTGTTGTTCAGTGATGTGTTTGCCAATGTGAACCTTTGCAAGAAACAACTGAAAGAAGGACTGGATGCTTTGAGGAAAAACTTGAAGCAAACTTCATATGGAAACAGGTCTGGGTAAATACTTTTCTGTGAATTATTTTATTCCACAGGTGGAAGAGACTGCTAAAGAAAGCTGAGCTAGGCACAAAAGAGCATTATTGAGAAATAATTACTTGTGTCTGTTAACATTAAATTCTTGGGAGAAAACTCGGATAGATTGCCCCAGAGGCATTTTCTTTATGACTAGCTAAACTTTCGATGAAATTTCACGAATTTGAGATCCTATGATTTAAAGACTAATTATGTCTTTTCCAATGCACCTTTATTTAATTTCCATCCCCTTAGCTGAAATCTGACTCTGAGGAATGCAAACAGGAAGGGGTGGGAAAGTTGTCTCCAAGTACCAAGAATCATTGAGACGTGTTCTCTGATAAACATTCCTTTCAGCGATGTCCTGGGGTCTCTGGCTGATGTGGCTGACATTATACACAATGTCTCTTTGCTCCATTGTTGAACTAATCAGGTCTGTGTTTTTGGTGAGTTCCAAAAAAAAGGAAAGAAAGGAAGGAAGGAAAAATTCCTGACATGTTGTTATTTATTTTTCTTTCATTTTTACATTGCTAGAAAAAAATTTTTTTTTCAGTCTAGGGAGTTATGGATGAAAAAAATGCAAATGGCTGTTGTAAAGTGAATAAAACATTTTCTTGAGAAAAATATACTAGGCTGTGTGCCACTTGAATTCTAAACGAAGATCAATGTTTTAAAACAGTGTCTCAGAACTGCTTATTAATTTACATAATAGATTCATTACCAAGCCCTTGCCTCAGCTGCATATAGCAACTAGCTTGACTTGCCTTTTAATGAAAAACACTACCTTTAGGAATACCAAACACCTACTAAATTGTGGTAGTTAGCAAAAGACGTCAGATGAACAGCATGGTAGGGACTCTAATGAAGCACACTGGGGTTGGAAAGGCTAAAAGGGAAATGATGGAGTTTCATACGCAGTCACACTTTTGGACAGGCAAAGACCACCTTTTAGAAAAAAGAAAAAGAAAGAAATGGGAGAACGTGTTTTTCATTTTTACCCATTGCCTCTTCCAAGTTTTCCCCATTAAATCTATAAACTATAGGAGGGTCCATTATACCATTATTACTATTATTTATCAAAACAGGACAGTTAATGTACTCAAGGGCACATTAAAAATAAAGATTAGGGTATACACTTATCATGGTAACCTTTAGTTGAAATCAAAATCTTTATTCTTCATTGTTTTGTCCTCAATTTCAAACACCCTCATTGATTCGGCCTCAGTTCCTCTTTCTCACCTCCTCTGGAGCCTTCTCCTGGACGAAATGCTTGAAGTTTTTATTTTGTCAGACTTACAGAACAACTCTTGAAGTAACAGCCCTGAAACACTTGGTTCATTTATTCTAATTGTTCCTGACTGAAAACAAACTCATTTTGAAACCTATGTTCCTACTATTCTTTCAACTCATTAAATAACCTAATTTGAAAAGCCTTTGAAGTTGAACGGAATCCCCAGGTAAACACCATCCCTTCCTCTGTGCCTATTAAAGGCCTGTCCCTTTTTCAGGGCTTTTCAAAGAGCTAATACATATTCAGAAATACTTTACTCCATATTTTGTACTGCTGACTGAATCTGTGGCAGATGAGGAACATAACTGCAGAGGAAGATTTCAGGCTGAATGAGGAGGAGAATTGGAATCAGGAAAAGTAGGCAGATTGTCTGAGGCTTCACTTTTGCTGGTCTCTCTGCAGCAGCTTTTTCCTACTTTCTTCTCTGCTATTGAGAGCAACAAGAAACATAATGTGCTTCATTCGAAGGGAGAATTTAATTAAAAATGGAAAAGAAGCAGATATGCGAGCCTGACAGTTGATGTGACTCCCACCCACAAAGAGAGTAAAGATGTTTATTGTTTCAGTTGATACGTGGGTTTTGATGATCTATTGTTTGTTGCTGTTATTTTTAAAGCTATTCAGTTGCATTATTTCGAAAAAGAAAAGTCTTTCTTTTCCTTTGGAACTAGTTCTCGTCTTAACCTGCTAGTAAGAGCAACTGTTCTGTGTCAGTCACTTTTGGGTTCCTGCTCGTGAATAAAATCTCAGGAGACTTTGGTGAATAAGCTCAAGGTACTGGAACTCATTTACACCCCAGGAGCACTCTGCTCCTCTCCTGACATACCAGTGTGTTTATTATTGAAAACCATGGCTGGCAGGGTTGTGTATTCTGAGCTTTTAAGGAGAGAGTGGTGTAAAATCTGTGCCGTGTCCACACTGGTGGTGGGTGTAATGGATTTCTGCCCATGATCTCTTATTTCTTTACTGCTTTGATTTAGTGATCTTGAAACAAGAATGTCTCTGTTATATTTTTAGGTCAGATCAACTTAAGTCTCTCCTCTGAAAAAGTAGGCCTTTCCAGCCATATTGCAGGACACAGGGTTGCTTTTAACTCGGCTATGAGCATGCCCCACTTTCACTTGTAATGATAGCTGAATTCTTTGGGGATACTTATTGAACAGTAAATTTCATGTAAGTTAGCCAAAGGTAGTGGTGACATTAACCTCGACCCATTAGAACTGACCTGACTCCCTAATTGATTCAATACCACGTTCAGGCCCTCTGGTATCCACAAGAGTAAGCAGTAAACTCCATCATCTAAGATCACGTCTCCCAAACATATGGTTACCAGGTTGGACATAGCAAGAGCCCCCTCTAAATTGTGGCAGGAAATATGGACTACTGGTTTATATTAACCTCACACTCTGCCTGACTGAGAGAGAAGGGTATACTCGTGAGGAAATTAAGGTGAGGGAATTTAATAGTGATTTAATGAATTCCTTTTGTGGTAAATGGAACCAAGTAGAACTTCAGTCTTAATATTTAAAATGTATTCAGTGTTTATAAATTTTCAGAAATATATATTTGAAATGAAAAATTAAATAATAATTTCATTATATAATATGATTTCATTTTGGGTAAAAATATATATATGTGGGCCCTCCCTGGTGGTGCAATGGTGCCAGCTGCAGCTGCCTCAGTGCGAGTTCGATACCTGGTCCCGGAGGTGACCCAAATGGTGCAACAGACCTCTCCTGCCACACCTACTGCTCCCCTCAGCAGTGTACTTCGTCGACTACTGTTCGACTCCCCAACTCTGTCTCCAGATAATCCTCTCACCACCCTTGCACTTCTCACTTGTACCCCAGTTCTGCATGCATGCATAAATAAATCTTTTTAAAATACATATATGTATACATGTATATATTTATTTTTCATTTTGACTGTCTCGTCTTATAGTTCACTACTTCTCTCTTCTGTTACATCTAGTTGTTTGCTAAATTTATAAAGATCCAGATTTCAATTATTATGTTTTTCAATTCTAGAATTTTTGTACGTAAAATCCAGCTCTTACTTAATGTTTCCTTTCTCCCCTACTTTCACTATGAATCTCACTTTTTTATTAAATACATTAATCATTAAAATCCTTATCTGTTTATGCCAATATTTGGATCACTTATGAGGTCTATTTCTATAATTGACTTTTTCTCTTAGTTTTAGAACTTTGAAGTCCTATCTATTGGATTTCTTTGACTTTTCAATAAGCATTGGTCTCCTATCAGCAAGTAGAAGCCTGATCATAGTTTTTAAAATATTTTATTTAATCATATTCATGACTAACAGTATCTTGTGTTCTAATTCTTATTTAGTTAATAACTTACTTGAAAATTATTTATTAATCACTTACTATGGGCTAGGTATTATGGATAGAACAGTGAATAATTGTGTACATAATTATTAGATAAATACTATGTTGCTAATTGGTATTTAAAGAAGCATAAATCAGGATAAAGGGACAGAAAATAGGGAGGTAACTTTTGTATGAAGAGTGGTCAGAAAAAGCTAACTAGTGTAGTGAGACCTGAATCTTGCCAAGGATCAAACCATAGGAAGGACTTTATGTTATTTGAGGTTCAGGAACAACAGTGCAATGGTTCTGAGAAAGTAGCATTTCATCATGGGAAGTTTAAGAAATAGCCAAGAGTGGCAAGCTAGACAGAGGAAGGAGAAAACCCATGGTTGAAAATCATCTAGTGCTTTTTGTTTATAGATTTTCTTTTTCTCTCTCATACCATTATTTTGCTTTCTAAAGGATCCTAATGGGGAAAAGAGCATCGTTGTCCTTAAGGTTCAATTTTTTATGCAGTGGAAATCTTCACAGTCATTCTTTTGAGATCATGACCTACTATGATATCCTGGGCCCTAAACCCTCGACAGGTAAGATGTATTTGTCTTATGACATGGGAAAGCTGTGCATGGCTGCTTATTCAACACATAGTTAGTAAGGATGGATCTCATCAGCACAGTGTTGAGTCAGGCATCAGAGGCAAGCTGCTTGCTGACTCTGAAATGAAGCACTTTGTGGTTTTAAGGAGACACTTATGCATGCTTTTGCCTCCAGTTTTTAATTTAAGGAGTATGATCAAGTGTTACTCTTTTTCTAGCATGATTAGAGTGGAGAAGGAGCATGCAACTAGTATAAACTTGGCCTGCGAGGAGCTTCTTCATGTAACAGGAATCCCAACATAGCCAGGCTGCATTTGTACCAGGATCGTTCACAATCTGACTAACTCAAGGGAGTAAATGAGATCAGGGACAAAGCTGTCAGTTGAAGTAACAGATTATTGTTGAAGAGGACAGTGTTTAACGCTCAGTCTTTGGGAGAAAATCTTACCCCCTAAGCAAGTAAAAACCAGAATTCTTTCCAAGATGTCTATAAAGGCACCCTGAGCTCAAATCCACACAGCTTTGCCACCTACGTGGCAAAGAACAGCTCTGGGGTTGCAGCATGAAAGCCAAGGGGCCCACCGTCACTCTGAACTGAGAAGCTGTATGGGTAGACATGTCTTGATGAACTCTAGGTTCCTTTCTCCTGGCAGGAGAAATAGCACCTTTGGCAGGTGCGGCCGCCATTGCTGACAGTGCTCTCTTTGGTAGGGCCATCAGTAATTTTGGTAGCAACAGTCACCAAAAAGGTTGGACACAGCACAAATGAGCAGGAGAAGGGGGCCTTCTTGGTGGCACTTGGGGTTAAGTCTCAGCACTATGAAGCTCTCGGCAGCCACTGCAGCACAAGTTCAATCTCTGGCCAGGGAGCTGACCCATATGGTACAGCAGAGCTCTCCAGTCTTGCTCACTGCTCCCTCAGCAATGGATCTCAATGGATCTGCTCCCCACTCTGTCTCCGGTGAATCCTCTCACCCTCTGCACATTTTGTCTATCCCCCAGTTCTTCTATGCATAAATAAGAAAATATTAAAAAAAAAAAAAGCAGAAGAAGATAATGGCAGGTGCCCTGTTGTTCAGAGTGCCTTGCCTACAGATTTGCATATGCTAGTCCCTAAGGGGATCTTAAAGGGGGGGGGAGGACTTGAGGGAGTTGGAACTCCTGCAAGAAATAAGAAGTGATATGGACAGTCATAGAACAACATTATTCATTGTAATATTTTTTTCCCTAAATGTGTGTTCTCTGGAGAGATATGAAATATAAAATCTAAGCAATTTTTAAGAAAAGGAGGGTCATGTGTTTTCATTTTAGACAAGATTAAGATCCTGTTATGAACTGAATGTATGTTTCCTCCCCCCAAATTCATATGTTAAGTCCTATCGACGGTATTAGGAGGTGAGGATATTGGAAGATACTTTTTAGATGATGTTTGGGAAATGGAGCCTCCATGACAGAATTTGTGACCTTATAAGAAGAGAAGAGTTGCCAGAGCTTCCTCTCTTGGTCACGTGTTAACTTGAGCAGAAGCCTCCATTTCCCTGGGGAATACATGACTTAAATGTAAATAAATGAAGAGATCAATAAATTATTTGATATCAACTGCTAACCTAGAATAACAATGCTTATTTTATATTGGGTCACAATTGAAAATGTCACAGCAACTATTTACTTTATTACTTCAAATACTTTCTGGAATACCTACCATGTACCATTAAATTTTTACAATGGATTAGGTAGGAGATCAAGATTTTTGTTCATATGAGGCACGCATTTGTAGTGGAAGAAATTATGGGTCACCAGTCCTGAAATATTATCTCATAAAGCTCTGTATTCTCTCTTAACTCCATGTCTCTGAACAGGGTTTCTGCTGATATATTTTTTCTTAACCTGTCCTACAGTCTTGAAACTTTCTGTCGACTTTTCAAGACTCAACACAGCTATCACTTCCTCCTCTGATCTTTCCAAGACAAACCTCTTCTGATTTCCCACAGTCTTCTAGCTATATCATTGAGGCAGTGTAATGCTCTTGGGTTATCCTTGTGTACAAGTTTGGTTTCCATTGTATTTTGACTCCTTGAGGATGAGGTTTGTCTTATGGCTACCACTGGGTAATTTGATAATATTCATTGATAATATTTTTTAAACGAAGGGGATAATTTTCATTCTACCCACTCCTAGCTAGATTCCAGAGGAACATGTTGAGTTTTTTGACCTGATTTTTTAAGCCTATCAACACTGTTGAAATATATGCTGTTCATATGAAGATTCTCTGTCGTGCTATCCTTGTGTGTACTAAATTGTAGAAACAGTGTTAGGGTTAGGGGTACACTGAGAATATCATTTGGTGAGGTTTATAATTTGGAGGAAAGACAGATTCATAACTAGGTCATTTTCTCATAACTTTATCTAAAAACAGAGGTATGAGGGGGTTCTGAGATAAGGTAGGACACTAGAAAGGAGATTGTGGACTCAGCCCAACCTGAGGTTTTCAAAAGTATTTTTTGCTCTGATAATGTTGCTGAGACTACAATATTTGTTTGTTTGTTTTCATGTTATGATTTATTCAGCACCTATTATGCTTGTTGTGTAATTTTTTTAAAGATTTACTTTATTTATTTATTTTTTTAAAGATTTATTTATTTGTACATACAGAACTGGGGTACAGGCCAGAGGCTCAGGGGTGGTGAGAGGCTTCACCAGAGACAGAGTGGGGAGCAGAACAGGCAGATCGACGAAGTACACTGCTGAGGGGAGCAGCGGGCCGGTCAGGAGAGGTCTGCCACGCCATGTGGTCACCTCCGGGGCAGGTGGGAATCGAACTCATGTGCAAGTGGCTTTAGCTTCTCAGTGTTGTGCTTTAACTCGCTGCGCCACCAGGGAGGGCCTACTTTATTTATTTATGCATATAAGAACTGGGGTATAGGCCAGAGATCCAGGGACCGAAAGGCTTCACCAGAGACAGAGTGGGGAGCAGAACAGGTGAATTGACTGAAATAAACTGCTGAGGGGAGCAGCAGGGAGATAGGAGAGAAGAGGTCTGCTGTGCCATGTGGTTCAGTTCCCTGGCTGGGGATAGAACTTGTGCTTCAGTGGCTGTGGATAGCTTCATAGTGCTGCACGTTAACCTCATGCACCACCAGGAAGGCCCTCGCTGTATAATTCTTGTTGCCCTATAATTAGCCCTGTTCATTCTGTATGAGAAACTAAAGGGATGATGCTATCTGGATATTAAAAAGCAGAACCTTAGAAAATTGAAGCCTGCAGGTAAGTGTATGGTAGACACAGGAGCTAGGGTACAAATCCAGGTCCCTCTGGTGATGTAGATTCTGCAAAGCTACATAGTGGAGACAACATACTGACTGGGCTTGTCATCATATCTCAGATCGATTGCATGTTAGCTATTCCTAAGTCATGGAAAACCTCAAATCTTCTTATTATTTTTTTAAATTTTTGAAACAGGGATGAGAAAGTTACTTCCCAAGACAGTTGAAATAATTAAAGTATGAGATTTAATTTGAAATTATGCTGCACGTACTTATTTCAATGAATATTTATTAAGAAAAGGGCTTTGTTTTTGTTTTTGTTTTTTGTAGCTAAGGCTTTACTTTTTTTTATTTTTTTTATTTTTTTTAAAGATTTATTTATTTGTGCATACAGAACTGGGGTACAGGCCAGAGACTCAGGTGTGGCGAAAGACTTCACCAGAGACAGAGTGGGGAGCAGAACAGGCAGATCGACGAAGTACACTGCTGAGGGGAGCAGCGGGCGGGTTAGGAGAGTTCTGCCACGCCATGTGGTCACCTCCGGGGCAGGCGGGAATCGAACTCATGCAGAAGTGGTTTCAGCTTCTTAGTGCAGTGCTTTAACCCGCTGCGCCACCAGGGAGGGCCTAAGGCTTTACTTTTAAAAAGTATTTTGTGTAGAAGAACTGGAGTGTAGGCCAGAGGTGTGTTGGGTAGAAGGATTCACCAGAGACAGACTGGGGGCGCAGAACAGAAGGATTTACTGAAATACGTGTCTAGTGGGGAGCATCAGGCAAGACAGCAGAGGTCTGCTGCGCCATGTGGAGTTAGCTCCCTGCTTGGGGATTAAACTCAGGTTATAGTGGTGAGAGCACTGAGAATTATCCCCTAGGCCACCAGAAATGCCCAAGAAAATATATTTTAGGCTCAGATTTTTAGCTTCTTACCATAAAGCTCTGTGTTTTCACAAAAGCGTTCTATTTCTGCATGCAGACGTCAAAAGCACAATTGTCAGAAACCAGCAGTTCTTGGAATTGTCTTGAGGATTTGAGGTTATATCAGTAGCTTTTGAGCTAACGTGTCTCCCAGAGGAGCAGAAGCATGTTTTTACAGCGGCTTCTAGGCTCCCTAAGTTCTTGAGCACAGCTGTATGAAATGAATTGAAAAAGACTGAAGTTATGTAATTTGCTCCTCTCCACTGAAGCTGGGAAATGGATTGTACAGAAGATGAGCAACTCAGATAAGTCCTAGGAGTCCAAGGAATTTTAATGGTTATCTAAATATTGCTAATAATTGTAAGAGCAGACTTAGATGATTACATCAAATCTTTAAAAGGATCTCAATGTTCTTCCCTGCGCTACTTATATATGTACTAGGCAATTAATGGCAAGGCCTGTGTGCCACAGGATAGCGCAAAAGCCATGAGACTGAGCACGGACAGAATTGATCCTAATTTCAGATCCGCATCATCATCCTCACTTGGAAACTGGTTAGGACTATAGGTTCTTGGATTCTCCCCAGGACCTACTCACTCAGAAACTGCGTTGCAAAAGATCCCCAGGTGATTCTTACACTCATTAAAGTCTCAAAAGACCTGAATTAGCCACTGGTTTAGAAGCACACAGACACAGAGGGAACTTGTAATGAGGACACAACTTCTTAGTTGTGTGATTTTCGGGAACTTACTTCACCTACCTGACTTAATTTCCTCATTTGTAAACTGAAGATAATGTTGATTTCTACATTGCAGGATTGTTGAAGAGTTGTTTTAATAAATATAAAACACTTAGAATGGTACTTGATTCATAACAAGAGCACTAAGTATGCTTGTTTTACAAATGATGATTAGAGTTTAAATACCTCAATTAAGGTGCACATAGTCAAAACAGAAAATTGTGGGGCCCTTCCTAGTGGTCCCTAAAGCATAGCCCCATGAAACTATCAGCAGCTGACTCACATGGTGCCACAGACCACTCCTGTCTCACCCTCTGTTCCCCCACAGCAGTGTATTTCAGTCATTCCACCTGTTTTATTCCCCACCATGTGTCTGGTGAATCCTCTCACCTCCCATACCTTTATCCTGTACCCCAGTCCTTGTATGCATAAATAAATAAATCTTTTTTAAAAAAGTGTAAGCCTAAAAAACAGCTTAAGGTAGAGACCACCAGCTTGCGTTCCTACTAATAAGGAACCTTCAAGGAGGTTCAATGTTGATTTAGTAGTGATTTTGAGAAGGGAATCTCTAGACTGCTCCTTACCAGGCAGATAGAAAAAAGTCGTCCAAAGTCTGCCATGTCTATTGTATACCAAAATTTAAGTTAAACTAGTTGATGACTTTTATTATCATAAGCCATAATTTGTTTCAGTCTGTTTACTAGGAAATACATAGGGCCCCAGTAAAATGGAAAGGGCAATTTTAGTAGTTCTAATGACTCTTGCCTTTTAAGTGTGGGGTTGGAATACTGTTTATTAATAATAGCATTTATGAGAATATTTGTTCATAAGTAATTCTATTTGGTTACACATAGTTGGCACAGGGATTTGATTTTATTCTCTAGCCTGCTGATAATCAACTGATTATTATCTCTCAGATTTGACCCTAACTGGACTAGTCTAAAAGGACTACACAGATACTCTTGAAATTGAGATTCCAGATAAAAGCATCTAGGCATTATTTTGTAAAATGAATTTTATCAGTGAAATAAAGTAACCGGTCAATTAACTTTAATATGTATATCATAGAATCTACATTCTCCACAATAAGTGAAAGGTCTTTGTGTGACAATTGATTTGGGCAATTTTAATAGATTATAGATAAAAGATAGTAAATGTTTATCATCCAACTAGAATGAGCACAATTTGATTTAATGGTGTTTTGTGAAATTGCAGGATTAAGCTATAGATGATTATTTGGTCACTCTTGCTATGTAATAGGACTTTCTCCCTCATTAATCTATCAATAACTGAAGCAGATAACTTTTTCAAATTGACCCACATCTTTTAGAATCTCCATCTTTATAGTACAATTAATTAATGAAGTGTCCAGAAAATAGAATCTCTTCTACAAGTATATGGCTGTAGATATAAATAATACCAGTGCAAATATTAAACAGTAGGGATTATATAAATTTTTGCATAGCTAGCATAATCACATGTGGCTATTGTTAGATGATATTTGACACATGGTTATCAGCACAGGCAGTGAAATTTGCGTTTGAGAAATGAACTTCCCCTAGCAACAGAGAGAGACTCTCTAGCTGACAGATGTTCTTGTACTAGAGTTTGCTCCATTTGAAGTGCTCAGGCTTTGTGGTATTGAAGCTTTTTCTTTTAACAACTTGGATAAACTGAAGCAACACTCCTAAGTGCAGCATACTGTTTTGTCTTAAGTCTGAATCATTGAAGTAACACAGCTCATTTGTATGAGGGGAAATCAGGAGAGGAGAGGAGGAGGAAATGCTCATGGTTGTCTTTGTTTCTTGGTGTTAACAGATTTAAAACTTCACCTTTACCGCAAGCTGTACCTCTGTGACGACAGTGATGAGGCACAGCTGTGTGCCCTGGCGCTCCTGCCCTACCAAGTGGCCTTTGTCAAGGCATCCATCACTAGGGTGAAAGAGCTCATTCGGTTAATGATCCATTGGTTCAGGACATCATTTGCCAAACCCACAGAGGAAAATAAGTATGTAACCAGTACAGGACACCACCTGAGCCCTTCTTTTTTCCTGTCTCTTTTCTTTATACTTCCTTTGGTAGAAGAGGGAATGTGTGTGTGTGTGTGTGTGTGTGTGTGTGTATGTATAAGTACATATAACTAGAGAGAGAGAGAAAGAAAGAGATTTAGTGGCATAACCAAATCATAATCAAGTAGATTGATGCTAAGAAGGCACAGAAATAGAAGGGAAAAGATAGATTGGTCTGATTTGAATAGGATATTCATTTAATATTTCAGTTCCTTGTATTTCTTCTGCTGTCGTGAGTTTTCTTTTTTTTTTTTAGATTTATTTATTTATGCATACAGAACTGGGGTAAAAGCCAGAGGTGCAGGGGTGGCGAGACAATTCACCAGAGCCAGAGTGGGAGCAGAACAGGCTGATTGATGAAGTACACTGCTGAGGGAGCAGCGGGCGGGTCAGGCCACGCCATATGGGTCACCTCCGGGGCAGACGGGGTTCGAACTCATGCGGAAGTGACTTTAGCTTCTTACTGCTGTACTTTAACCCACTGCACCACCAGGGAAGGCCCTGTAGTGATTTTTAACAGATATAGGGGGGTCCGTCAGTGGTGGACCCTCCCCCAACATCGATTGGCTCTGCTTCTCACTTGTAGCAGCAAACTAATGTATAGTGAAAGGATATGAAGGACACTCAGATACTGGTTTGTGTATTTTAAGATAATTTTTGATAAAAAGCGAACTAGTATATATTTGAATGATTCTCCCTTTGGAAGAAAAAACAGAGATGTAGATTTACTCTCGCATATTTATACATGGCCATTTTGTATAGAAATATGTCTTTCTTTCTATGAAGAAATTTTCTAATAATCTAAATATGTTCATCTGAATCACTGTTTATTTTTTAAAAAGATTTATTTATACATACAATAACTGGTGTACACCAGAGACAGACTAGAGAGCAAAACAGGTGAATCTACTGAAATACACTGGTGAGAGAAGCAGCAGGAGAGACAGGTAAGGTCTGCTGCACCATGTGGGTCAGCTCGGTGGCCGGGGATCCAGCTCAAACCAAAGTAGTGATGGCATTGAGACTTCACCCCTAGACCACCAGAGAGGCCCTCACTATGTTTATTCTGTGTATAATTTTATGTTGACCCTTAATGTCAAGATCAATCACTTTGTAAAAACAGACATTACTTCTATGTAATTGGCTTCTAGTTCTAAATACCTCTAAGCATTTTTTATTTTTTTTTCCATCATTTGCTTGAAGTACAAATTTATTAGTGAAATAGAAAAACAGAAGGACAGAGAAATAAAGCTTCTTACTTTGCGTAGATCACAGGTCAGATTTTGAAATCTAAGACATTTTTTGGTAGTGGAGAATGTTTATGGGTCTGTGAGAAGAAACTTTATCTATTAATGGTACAGAATATAACTCTAAGAACTTAAAAAGATGGCATTGTGTGGAAATTGGACCATGTGTGTCACAATATGGTGATTGATTTCCTATTTTTGGAGTGTAATCTGGTAACGTGTACTAAGAATTTATTAGGTGTTAAGGACATTAAAACACTCATACCACTTGTCAGCTTAATTCCCTATTAAGTAAAAACAGGTTAAAAAAGTAAAAAAAAAAAGTTTACTTATTATTTGGTTTAAAATAAAAGAGTCAAGGTCATTTACATTAAAAACATGGCATAAAAAGAATAATCAGAGACTTAAAATGGGAGTTCAGCAATAATTATAGGAACTTCCCTTGGAGAAAATAATCACATAAAAAAGTAAACTATGAACCCTCCCTGGTGGTGCATATGGTTAAATCACAACACTAAGAATCTAAAGCCACTTCAGCATGAGTTCGATCCCCGCCTGGGAGGTGATCCACATGGCAGACCTCTCCTGAGCCGCCCGCTGCTCCCCTCAGCAGTGTACTTCCTCAGTCTTCCTGTTCTACTCTCCACTCTGTCCCTGGTGGGCTCTCTCACCACTCATGCACCTCTGGCCTGTACCCCAGTTCTGTATGCATAAATAAATAAATTTAAAAAAAAGTATACTATATAAGCATATTCACCATAGTAATACTGACAATAATGAAAAGAGCAAATAAAAATAACTTGTCATGTAAATATCTTGAAGTACATTTCAAGACAAATTTGGGAAGCATGGTATAGAACATGGAAGTATTTATATAAACTATAAATAGAAAGAATAAGATAATATACATAAAAAGATAATGAACACATATCAGAGCTATGTAAATATATATGTAAACATGTTATAGAACGTGAGATTAAAAGTTTAATATTTAATTCTTTTCCTCTCCCTCTAAATTCACTTTCATAAAATGCAGAGAGCATCCTCTGTTTAAGCAATTTTCAGTCATGACTTCCTTTTGACTTTTGGGAGCACCAGATGGTTCCAGTGGAGATGGATTTTTAAGTCTTGTGTCCATTGAGAGAACATTGTGAGAACTGAGTTACTGATCACCTGAAATCTGGTTTGCTATTCAGTACTAAGACAAGAAATTTAATCTACTTTTATTTTTTCTATTTTCTTTATTGAGGAAACAATGACTAATAGTAATATAAGAAATGGAATGGTACCATTCCATTAGGGAAATAAATTGAATTATTTTGGTGATCTATCACAAAAGGGATTTCAATGGCTCATGAATGCCAAGGCAGCGGAAACACATTTGAATAACATCAACCAACATGAAATCCTGAACTGTTATTTTTTTCTCTCCCTTTAGTTTGTTTTTAATCTTCATCTTTAATTTCTATTTCCTCTCTAATGTGCATAAACTGCAACTTAAAAGACTTAATGTAAAAAAAACGTTCTTCTTTATCTCCAATCCCCACCTCCAAACAATATTCAGGGCATATTCATCAAATTGTGTTTTGCACCTATGTTTAATTTCTTTGAAACGAAAACAAATGGGTTTGCAGTTTATGTATTGCTTTTAAAATTGTTTTAAATGAATCTTTATCTTTTCATACCTGTTTAGAGATCTTCCTTAATTTTTTTAACGATTTATTTATTTATGCATACAGAACTGGAGTGCAGGCCAGAGGTGCAGGAACAATGAGATGTTTCACTAGAGACAGGGCAGGTTGCAGAACAGGCAGATCAAGGAAATACACTGTGAGACAGGAGGCATCTGCCGCAAGATGTGGATCACTTCCAGAGCAGGGGATCGAACTCGCACTGAGGCAGCTCCTGCTAGCTTGCAGTGCTGTGTCCTAACCCACTGTGCCACCAGGGAGGGCCGATCTTTCTTAATTTTTTAATTACTGCAGAGTACAGGTCACAGCCGTGTTATGTGTATAATTTGAGATTCAAATATGAGCCGCCTATGCAATATCATATATGCTGGTAGTCAAATGTTAGCAATTCAACATGTGATTCAATATAGAAATTATTAATGAGATATTTCACTTTATGTGTGTATGTGTTTGTCTTCGAAATCCAGTGTGTACTCAGGTCTCTAGTCGCATTTTGATGGCTTCTTATAGCCAGTGTTTACCATGTTGGATAGCAGGGTAAGAGATACATCATGAAACTAATTCCCTATTGATGAACATTTCAATTATCACAGTTAAAAACAACAACATAGTGGGCCCTCCCTGGTGGTGCAGCGGGTTAACCCACAGCACTAAGAAGCTAAAGCCACTTCAACATGAGTTCTATCCCAGTCAGGGAGGTGCAGCAGACCTCTCCTGACCCGCCCACTGCTCCCCTCAGCAGAGTACTTCGTCAGTTGGCCTGTTCTGCTCCCCACTCTGTCTCTGGTGAAGCCTCTCACTGTCCCTGCACCTCTAGCCTGTACCCCAGTTCTGTATGCCTAAATAAATCTTAAAAAAAACAACAACATAGCTTGAGCAGCGTAAGAATTTTTTTTTTTCTACATGGAGGTGCAGGGAGTGAGAGAATTCACTAAAGACAGAGTGGGGAGCAGAACAGGCAGATTGACTGAAATACACTGTTGAGGGAAGCGGTATGTGAGATAGAAGTGGTCTGCCACACCATGAATGCGTCAGCTCCCTGGCTGGAGATCAAGCTCAGGCCATAGTAGTGATAGCACTAAAACTTGACCCTAAGCTACCAGGGAGCCCCCCTGGGACAAATCAAACTTTAAATTGACTCCAGAAAATTGTATTAATTTATATTCTCACCCATAGAGTATGAAATGTCAATTTCTTCATCAACTTGCCAATGTTTGATACTATAGTTATTTTTTTACCAATTTAATTGGTGGAAATACTATTGTTGCTTGATAAGTAGTGAGACTGAGAATAGAACTTCTGTAAACTCCATGTTGAGCCTGAATTTTCTTCACAGAATAAAACTTTCTTTTTTAAAAAATAAAAAATTATTTATGCATACAAGAACCGGGTGCAGGCCAGAGGTGTGGGGGTAAGAGGAGTCATCAAAGACAGAGTAGGGAGAAGAACAGGTGGGTTTATTGAAATCCACTGCTGAGGGGAGTAGTGGGAGAGACAGGAGAGGTCTGCTGCACCACGTGGGTCAGCTCCCTGGCTGGGGATTGAATTCATGCTGCAGTGGCTGGCAATAGCTTGATAGTGCTAAGAATAATCCTTCTGCCGCCAGGGAGGCCCACTTTCTTATTTTTCTGGGTTAATGGAAGTAGATATAACCCTCCTTCTCCGTGTGTAGGTTCCGGAGACTTCCCTCCACTTACACAGTGGAACTCCTCACAATTCACGTCTGGGAGCTGGCAGGAAAGCCTCTATTCTTCAGCCTGGTCCAGGGAATGAGGGCGATCCTCAAACTTCTGGTTCAATATGCAGAAATTGATGTTGTTTGGCACAGACACTATCATCCCAAGTTCCCCATTTTTGTCAAAGTTAACCAGAAACGCACAAGGTAACTATCTTTTCCTATGTCCTTATGATATAAGGAACATGTTTGCCTGGGGCAAAACACAGAAGGGAAGAACACAGGGACTATTGGGATGAGTCACTGGAGCTCACATGGTGGGAGAACCATGGGGACTACACCTGAGGGGAGAAGGCAAATACTGTACAAAAATTAATAATAATGTAAGAAAATTAATTAATTAAAAAAAGAAGGCGGGAGCAGAGTCGCTTTACTGGAATTTGATGTAAATAAGAAGGCAGCCTTGACTACCACAGTCAATTCCCTTCGATTACTTCTCACAAGATTTTAATTCTGAAGTGTGAATTAAAAGGACTTTGAATAAAACAGATGGAGTGTGGATATAGCCAACAACATGAGGAGCAAAGTGAAGATGGAATATTGGGAAAAAATGTCTTCTCAGATGAAGAGGAAAAGGAGAGATAGTCAGAGTTAGGTGGGCAGAGGCAAGGTGCTATTTTCTGATAGGTGTGAGTAGTCTCGTGGGAAGTTGTTCCTTCGTTTCCCAGAGTCCGTCCGTTAACCAAAACCCTTCTTTAACGCTGACACTCCCCTCTTCTAAACTCAGTAAATTGTAAGTAGTTTGAGAAATGGGGAGTTTTCGATTTTTTGTTTGCTTGTTTTAGGCCATTCATCTTAGACCCTGTAAATCCTACTGCCAACCTGTGTGACAGCTGCAATGCCTGGGATGAAGTTGCCCATGTGGCCAGATGCAGCCTGGAGAAGCCTCTTTTCAACAGGGTGAGAGTGAGGGCCCCCTGGCTCTTCACAAACAAATGGTAAACTAGGCTGGAAGATTTTGTCCGTGGATACCTTTGGAGAAGATAAAAGGATGCAAAATAGTTTGCCAACTAGAACACTTCAGATGAAGGGCAAAATGTGGGAAACTTGTCTCAGTTTAATTCACTACTTTAATGACCCCAAAATTTGATGCATATTTATGTAAGTCATCATTTACAATATAAGGATCTATGTTTCTGCCTATAAGAGAAATGTAACCTCTGTGCCTGTTTTTCAAATCCATTCATTTTCATGCCAAAAAAAAATTTTTTTTAAATCCAAGTAGCTGCAATAAAGAAATAAAAAACTAAGTTTCCAGACCCATTGAGAAGAATAACTGATTGCCACAACTGTTTTCAATTGTTGGGATCAACTGTTTTCTTCCTATTAAGGAACATTAGCAGCTACCAGTAATGGAAGCCAGAGGCCACCAGAAATAAACTAGAGGAAATTTCCTGACTCATTTGCATGGCAACAACTCATCAGCACTAAAGATATATGAAGTGTGACTGCAGAGTAACTTGCCTGATTAGGCTTCTCCACATGACAGAGTACATACAAATGAGTGCCATCCCCTGCAGGCAAGTCCACAGAAAACCTGTGTGCTTATTCCAGCCGTGTGATTGGTCTGGAAACACTTTTGGATTTCCCTACAGGGGAGAATGTTCTTTTGAGCATCCTGAATGGTGACAAAATTTGTCCTGTGAGGGTGGATTAGAATTTTGGAAATAATACAATGTATTCTTAGTAGTCATCTGTATTTTTTTCTACCCAGAATCCTTTTTCCTAACTCAAGACAAAGAGACCACATTTCTTCTTTTGTTCATTTCTGTCTATGAAAGTTCTCAAGGAGAAATAATTTCAAATTTGTCTTGGAAAATGGTCACATTTTCTTTTACTTTGGTAACAGAACCCAGGTTTACATCAGGTGACTAATTCTAACTAGTCCTAAGTCATTTAGGTGGACTGATTTGACCATATCAAGGCAAAGGCTTGTGACCCTGGCCTAGCACAGAGATGGAGTCAATGAAAAATACCATGGCATTCACTTCTGGAATTTAGATTTTAACTGTTGGGAACTGTTGGGAATTTCTCATTCTGCTATCAATAAACATGAAGCCATTGGCTATCATCTTGCTTCTCAAAAGGGAAAGTCTATCTAAAAATGGAGTCAATCCCAAAAGAAGCAGAGCAGAGACATGAGCAATGACACATGTGCATGTACAGACATGCATAAGTTTTACAATGAAAGTCCAAGTCCAGGCTTGAACTGCAGGCTTTCAGGTGTACTTGGAACAAAAACTACCTATCCTGGGACTCTTGTATCATACTCCAATAAATTTCCTTTTGCTCAGTAGATTTGATTTGTGTTTCTACCTCACAAGTGAGTCCTGAATAATTCTGAAGAGTAGAGCCAGGTCTACTGGGTGAATTATTTCATTGAACAAGGAGAAAAGAAAGCACCAAGACATCGATAATACATTTCTACTGAAGAAATATTCATTGAACCTATCTATTAAGTGTTAGGCCCAGTGGTAGGGTATGAAGTCAAATGATCAATTTCAGCCAACCAAAGAAACTATTTTCTTCCTTTGCTCATAGTAACCCCGGGCCATTCCTGGAGGGAATTAGTGACAGGAATGTCTGGCAAAGATAGCAGTCTTAAAAACTGTCAGGTCATGTTATTAACTTGCCAAGGTAAGCTAATATAATATATTAAGAGGACTACAGTCTTTTGAGGTTAGAAACTCTATCTTTTAAAAATAGAGTTCTAGGGCCCTCCCTGGTGGCGCAGCGGGTTAAAGCACAGCACTGAGAAGCTAAAGACACTTCCGCATGAGTTCGATTCCCGCCTGCCCTGGAGGTGACCACATGGTGTGGCAGACCTCTCCTGACCCGCCCGCTGCTCCCCTCAGCAGTGTACTTTGTCGATCTGCCTGTTCTGTTCCCCACTCTGTCTCTGGTGAAGCCTATGGCCGCCCCTGAGCCTCTGGCCTATACCCCATTTCTGTATGCATATATAAATAAATCTTTAAAAAAAAAAAGAGTTCTAGTAGGGGAGGGTTTGGGAGAGGTTTCACATGGAGGAAGGAAAGAGCACAAGAGACTGTGGTGATGGTGCACAGGTGAATTGGGGGAGGAAATTCTATGAGGTCTATACCTGAGGAGAAAAAAAAAGGTAAACATTGTTTTAAAATGGACAATGATGTAAATTATAGATAAATAAATAAATTTTAATTAAAAAATAAAAACAGTTTGGCCCTCCCTGGTGGCGCAGCGGGTTAAAGCACAGCACTGAGAAGCTTAAGCCAGTTCCGCATGAGTTCGAGTTTTATTTTCCCTCTGTGGTTACAACTCCCATAGGAGAAGAAAACAGGAGAGGAGCAAAAAAAATCGCATGACACAGTTTTATTTCTAAGTTGGGAAGGGTGCCTCGCTGGTGTGAAGCCTTACATAGAAGGTGGCGGTGAGTGTAAAGTTAATTATGTCTCCTGGATTAAGAAAGTTCCAGCATACTCTAATGTGATTTTGCTCTGAAATGAGTAAGGTAAGATTTCTGTGGTTGTAAGGTGTATGATCCACTCAGAGAAAGAATCATGGAGCTTATGCCTGCTACTCAGGTCAGCAGCTCTCATATACCCTGGTACCTCACTCTCATATTTTCCTTGCATCTAGAGAGACTCATCCATCCTGTCCCAACCAAGAGCTCTCTTTTCTTTACGGTCAGCTCCCTCTGTCGAATTCTGGTTCCTGAATGTAACACTTCCAACTTCATCTCTCAGCTGAAAACAGCACATTCCTTCCATGTTTCTTAGCTTACCCTTCCTGAGAGGAACAGACTAAGCAATTTGCTTTGGAGTTTTGGACCAGATTACCCAGAATTACTGACTAGCTATGGGCAAGTGCTGGGAATGGGGAAATAGGACATAGTACCCAATGAGACTACAGAATAGGGAACATTAGGGACACGGATAAATGGGATAGGGTCCATGGCCAGCAGGTCTAGTGCTGTCTTTCTTCAAGCTGCAGGTGTCTCCTTCACAGACCCTGCAGTGTTGAAAAAAGACTCTGCAGAGAGGCTCAGTAGCTGCCATCATTAGGTTATGTGAATGTTCCTGTTTCTGGTAATACCAAGTCTTAGAAGTAGTCAAAAGATTTGTTGGAAAAGCAGGGAAAATTTCCCTCTTCTTCAGTAAGTCACCAAGTAGAAGAAACCATGATCCTAAGAAGTAATGAGGGATGGAGTAGTTATGTCCTGGCAAGTGAAATCTACAGGGAAACAAAGAGAAAATTAAGGGACTGTCTGGAGGTTGAGTTTGAACTGAGAAATATGCCCCAGGAGGGCTTTCAACACCATGTCCTGAAACCACAATCATCCCTTGTCTGCTCTTCCCTCCCTACTCACAACCTAGAGCCATGTTAGGTCCCAGAGATCAGCATTGTCGTATCATGTTGCTTATGTACAGTCTGGGAAACTTGCCATCACTTGATTCCACTCTTGGGGGGGGAAAAAGCATTTTTGGGTTTGAATAGCTAACTTACTTACACGTAGACTTGGGGACCATAATCGCTGCTAAATCTGGGAACTGCCTTATAAATAGGTGGCAATCTGGGACTTTCACTTGGAAACCAACAATCACTAGCTCAACAATCAACAGCTCTCAGGAAGAAGCATATCCTATCTCACACACAACTGCTCCAAGGAAGAAAAGTATCACGAGGCTTTAAAGTACCACTTTAAAGAAGTGACTTTAACTATTTGCCAATTGAACTTTTCAGAGTTTCTGGCCAAGGGGATAAATGTAATTCTGAACAAGGTTAGGAAAAAGACAAAACTTGCAAGCTGAACATAGATCTGAGGCCTATCGCAGGGGAGACAAACAAGGTAGGGAAGAGTATAAAAGATTGGCGATGGTCCACAGGTGAGATGGTGGTGAGAGAACTGCGGGACTGCAGCTGACATGGGACTACATCTGTCCAAATATGAGCAGCACTGTAAGATAATTTCATTAATTAAAAATCAAAACTGAGGGCTCTCCCTGGTGGCGCAATGGGTTAAAGTACCTCACTATGAAGCTGTCAGAAGCCACTGCAGCTTGAGTTCAAGCCCCCGCCAGGGAGCTGACCCACATGGTGTGGCAGACCTCACCTGACCTGCCCACTGCTTCTCTCAGCAGTGTATTTCAGAACATCTGCCTGTTCTGTTCCCCACTCTGCCTCTGGTGAATGATCTCACCCACCACACCTCTGATCTGTACCCCAATTCTGTAAGCATAAATACACAAATTTTTAAAAAACAAAAAATAAAAACTGTGAGAAATACTTTAAGTCAAAATTGAAAAATAAAATTCCAAACACTGGGATCAATGTGATAACAGGGGGATTTGCTCTTTGGGAAAAACAAAACAAAATAAAACAACATAGTCTTATCTCTACCTGATTTGCTACTCTCTAGCTTTCTTGGTGGGGTGGAGGGAGTGTGGCAACCCTCCCCTCTCTCCTTTATTCCTTTCTGTGCCACCCATAAGATGCTTGTTATATCAAAAGGCCTGGGGCGGTGTTGCTTAGTAAAGAATGTGTTAAGTAGCATTAGGCTAAAAGAGCTCAAATGTAAGTGTGATCAGAAACACCTGGTGAAATTCCAGACCCTTTTCCAGAATTTTGTCAGCAGATCTGGGGTGTGGTCCAGGAACTTGCATCTTTAAACAAATAGGCAAGGAGTTTCTGATACAAATAGGTCATGCATTGTATTTAAGAAAGCTGAGGGAACAACTGAGATGAAAAAATGCTCAAAATGATGTAAAAATAAACTATTATCTTATTTTTTTAAAAAAAAAAAAAAAGGAAAGCTGGGGAAGTATCTAAGTATCTGGCTGCCCTGCTAAGTTAAGGGCAATATATGTGTGCTCTCACCATCTTGTATTACTACTGGGCTCCAAGAGAGCCTCTTGTCCCTCTTAAGCAAAAGGGTTTGCTCCTGCCAACTTCAGAAGAGTCTGAATCTCGGGCTAAGGGTAAGTGGAGTGACAATTTCCATGTATTTGGCCCTTGCCTCTGAGCCAGAACTTCCTGGGAGAACAGTGGTTTCTCAACCTTATTGTACATTGGAACGACTTGGGGAATTTCCAAAAATCTTGATGCTTGGGCCCCACTTCTAGAAAATCTAACTTCTTTGGTCTGGGTGCAGTCTACACACAGGATTTTATAAAGCTCCTTAGGCATTTCTAGTATTCAGCCAGGTCATTGTGGTAGAGGAAACACTTTTCTTGGAATGCTGGCTAAAAAGAATCTTAATATTTACTATTTGATAGGAAGGACACCATAGAAAAATCTTCGTATTTGCATTTCTGTAAGGCAAAGCAAAAATACCTACAGTATATAAGTGATAATACCTTGAATAGTGTTTATCTGTGAACATAGTCAATGACAATGAAAATATTCTTAGTCTGGCTTCTTTGGACCTTTATCGAGAAAGAAAAGCATAGCATCACATAAAGCAGAGTTCTCTAAAACATTTCAGAGGTAAAGGCAACTGCCACATGGTTTCCAGCTTCAAGAGAAGCAGGAAATTCTTAAATCTTCATCTTTTCTTTCAATTTTCCTCACACTTAGCTGATCAGATTCATAGTTAATGTAGGTACACTTAAAAAATATTTGTGGTTTCATTCTTTTCCTTACTAGAATTAGGCTAATAAATTTAACAGTAAATATATCAAAGACTAATAGTTTTTGAACAATGGACAACTGAATTCTGACCATTATAGCAACAATGACTATTAAATCTGTAATTTTCTGATATTTTCATACAAACTTGACTGTGTTAAGCATTTTTTTTTTGGTTCACTTTTAAACAACAATGTGATATATTTAGTGTTGTGAAAATTGAACTATTTCTTGTCATAATACACTGCAAGTCTGCATGTAAGGGAGATGACACATCCTGAAAATAGGCTGTGTAGGACCATGTTGGGGCTAGGCTGGATCCCTGCTGAAAGTGTAAGAGAATAGAAACATGAGCTGAAAGCTAAGAGTTTAAAAACTGGGGCCCTTGATAGAGCAATCCAAAAACTTTGGGGAGGTCTCACCCTCTTTGAAAATGTCATTTTGAATGCATATGTTAGTTCTATTTTCCTGCTCTTATTGTATTCTCAGAGGTCCTAAGGTTAGGACCCACAGGTCCATCTATTTATTTAAGTAGAGAATCGTGCACTCTAGTCCCTTTCAACACAATATGTTATTGAGAACGTGATATAGAAAAGGAAAAATAAGACTAGACTTTGCTATACAACTCTACTCTTAATTTGGGTTAGGAATGCAAGCATTTATGTGATATATAGCAACACTCCTTCTGTCTTAGGTAAAATTTATTTGCTAAAATGAGCATCAAATGGACAAGGATTGGCAAAAATACTCTTTTGTATCTTTGTTGTGAATTCCAAAGCATTCCAGGAAAGTGGGCAGTATTGACTAGCTGGGAAAAAACAATTGTGACCAAAAGAAAATCTCTTTTATCAGAATGGGCACAATTTTACAATTATAGGGAGTAAACTTGACATTTGCCCAGCTTATTCCTTGACATGTTGTCATGGTGATGTCAAAGGCTACAAATGCAGTAAAGGTGCATGCACATTTATCACACCCAGCATGTGAAAATGTGGCTTTTTCAAAATGATATTGTAAAGAGTAATGACTGAAAAAAATACTTCAAATAGAAAGTTTCCTTAATTTTAACATTTATTCAACTTACAAATATTGATTTTAATTCTTTGGGGAAAATATAAGATAATAAAGATTTTTAAGTGACATTTAGCTTCATATGGAGAGGAATGTGATTTTTGTTAAAACAATGTGTGTGTTTTTTTTTTAATTTATATAATACTATAGGGTATTACCTTTTCAAAACATTCGAGTAGAGTAAATATATAGCTCAATTTTCTCCCAGTGTGGGAAAATGTGAATTGAAATGTCTACTAATAAGTCTAATGCCAAATATATCAGAATACAGTCATTTCCACAGGGATTTAAGGAATGGCAATTAATTATCTTTGTACTTATTTAGATGTATAGCTAAAACTGTCATGTTTAAAAACCTTTAATGTAATTGTAAAGGTTTTAGCTTTCAGGAAAGTTAGTCTGAGCTGGCCTAAAAAGAACTCTCATTTAAAATTGAAACAAACTGTTTTCTTTAATTTGAATTATTGGACAATATGCATAAAAATCCTTTTCATATTATAGATATGGAAACTATGAGTATTTAAAACTGACACTGAAGCCATCATTAAAGTTTAAGTAAACAGTAACAAGCTAGCATTTAATTTTTTAGTTTTAATTTTCTAACCAATTGATTGACTCAAGCCATTTTCAAGAACGAATGGATATTTTAGTCCTCTTTAAGAAAATTCTAGTAATTTAATCTTAATAATGGCACTATACTTAAGCTACTGTTTGCTTATGTTCTTCAACATCATCAAAGACAACTAAATATTTCTTCTCACCAATGTATGAAAAATTAGTTAAGTAGAAGCAATTATTACATGCTAATGATTTAAAAAGTTTTAACCTTTAAAATGGCAGTAACTTTTTCCATTATAGAAAGATGACTGTGGTGGCAAACAAACACACATCAGTTCAAGTCAACTATTTGTAAATTAAAAGTGAACAGAATTGATTGCAGGACTCATACAAAATTAATTTTTCTTGTGGAGTAAGATTAAGAGTATTTTTCTAAGTCATTTATCCTCATGTGGGAGAGTGTAGATTTTTAAAAATTCTTATTACAATGGCCATTTTAAGCCACATTACATTTATTATCATTTTCATTACATTTATTATCATTTTCATACTATATCATTTCAAGATCTTTGATAGTGAGGTATCCAAATACAATCCCAACTACAATTTAGGATCACACCTAGTGATGTAATCTATCTCTCAGTTTACAAAGCTTCAAAAGAAACTCTAATCCTTGTATAGTTTTTAAAACATCTATATTGTTTATTCAATCCCAAGTATGTTTTTTTAATGCCATCATGCTACTCTGGCCCTTCCTTTGCAACATCTATGAAGCACTTGTCAACCTTTAGAATGGAGCCACGTCTGAGAAAGTTCTTTCAAACCATCCTTTTTCCATTCTTTCAGACTGAGGTGGAATTATTGAGAGTAAGATGGATAAATTGCATGAGTGGATGCTGGGTCCAGTGGGGGTCCTGCTACTCTCTATAAATGGAATGGTGGGAAGAGTTAGTTCGCCCTTGGGTGGTAACTACAGACATTAGAGCTTCCAATGACTTTTTCATTGGAAAAAGTCCTAACCACAGAGTCCGGCTTGCACTGCCCTCTGGGGCGGCTGGGTCCTCCTTTTCCTAATGGTAGCCACTAAGGGCGCTGAAGCTCAGCTGGTCCTCACCAGGGGAGGAAGTGTCAGCATTGCTGTAGATCTGCATCAGGGCCAAGCTCAGGATTTCTTTCTTTTCTTTGTAGAACCGTAATTCTTGTCCTGCTTTCCTGGCTTCCTCCAGCTCTCTCAGGGCCAGTCGCAGCTCTTGAGAGAGGATTCCTGGTGACTCCCGCTCTTTCATGATCCAGTCCAGGGCCATATGGCTGCGCATCTTTTCATCAAGAGAATACTGGGAATAGTAGGAGATGACTTCCTGGAGCCAAAAAATAGAGCTGAGTCAGTAGAGGAACTTCAGTGTGTCAACAAACACCCACGCTCATGGCTTCTACCCTTCCTTTCCTCTGCTGCGGCTCCCCTCCCCTTCATCTGGGTTTACTGACACCAAACCTCTCAGATACCTCAAAATCAAAACCAAATCCTCTGATCCTCTGACATTCTTCTCACATGAAATGAAGGGCTAAGGTGGAACAGCAAAGCAGGCACCTCCAGTCAAAACAGCCTCCAAGAAGGGTTCAATAATGTTCACAAAGACAGTTGGGGCCTTCTAGGAAATATGTCCTTCTTTGAAATGCACTTCTATATTAATAAGTATAACACTTTCTACTTTGCATGTTGAACTCTCTGCCCAGCATCTTCTTCTTTGGCAAGAGAGAGAGAAGCAGTTATTGGGGGGGGGGAGGGGAGTTTGGCAGAGTTGGATTTGACTATGCCCACTGCAAAAAGCAAACAGCTTTGAGTCAAAAGAACCTTAGCATTAGACTCAGAAGCCAGAGGGTCCAGAGTTCAAAAGGCTCACAGAAACTACAGGAAGCCTTTCAAAGTATAGAATGTGGTGTCATTGTTATTGAAGGCATTCATACCACCTTCAGAGACAGAGACTTCACCTCTGTCTCTTATTTTTTGCAAGCAACTGAAAATTAGTCACTACCTATCAGTTCTCAGGTGAAAAATTGCCAGTACATTATAGAGTCGTACATCTATTTGATGGATACATTTTAAGAAGTTCATGTAGAGTGGATGTATTGCTTACTTTTATTTTGAAGAACATATGGTATTTATTTATGACCTTAGCAAATTAAAAACAATCATGGAAAAGTGTTTATAACCAACTGGCATATTTCAAAGTCCTTTTATAAAATCAAAGGAAAAGAAAAAAAAATAGCCAAAACCATTGTCAGCCACTCATTTCTTTTCCATCTTTGACATTCTGAAAGCTGGACTTTCTAAGCAAAGGAAAACTGAAATCTCTTGGGGCTTCAGTGCTCAGAAAGCTCTTACATATACCCTCATGTTGGTGACTTGTAGAAACTTTGTTTCTCATATAAATTCCTGTTTGCAAATTCTCAAAATGAACTACAATCTTTCAAACTCTCACTGTAAGTAAAGGAAGGGTAAATCTCTGAGAACAGTAGTGAAACTGTTAAATATACAAAAGAGGGGTTGAATGGTCACTAAAAAGAAAGGAATAAAGCAAGGATTTACCTCTGAAAAATAAAGTAGAAACCTAAAACCAAAACACAGGGGTGTTTGAATGCCAGCTTGTCCACATTTACTGTCACTTCTGTTATCCATCAGGGATTTTGGTGGAGGTGAGAAAAACCTTCCCAGTATAGCCAACACCACCTCTCTTTAGTGACAAAGTTGAGAAGCAGTATAGTCTCAAGTTTCTGCATTGGAGAGTGGAAGAGGGAGCAGACTCCAAGCAGGCTTGATAAATTCAGAGTTGATTCAGCATTTAATGCAGAAACAACTGGCTGTCAGAAAATTTATGACACATTTTTGCTTGAAAAACATAGAAAAAAACATGTCATGAGTTATCCAACAACCCAATACGCCTGTCCTGAGGAAACCTCCATTCTGGCACCCAATACAGGTATCTAACTCAATCGTATGCCCAGCCAACATTCTTCTTAGTGCACAAATCTGATCAGCTTTGGACTCAGTTGGATTGCTATAAATACATTTTTTTCCTCATCTTTCACTCAAAAAAATAAGTTACCAAACTTAAACAGTGAAGAATTAAAAGCCTAAAAGGAAATCTAGAAAGATCATCTTGATGGAAAACTCACCTGTCGGGAACACTTAGTTTCACGAAGAGCTTTTAGACTTCCATTCCAGTGCAATAATTGGAAAATGGTCATCAGTTCCTGCAAACCCCAAGCACCTGTCATTAGTCCCATAGCAGAAATGTGAAAGGCGGCATGTCTGTGAGAGCAGAGCGGGACATAACTGTGATCTCCATCAATCTCAAGGGAATAGAATAGGCAAAGTTGCCATACTCTAAAACTTCAAAGGTCAGTGTCCCTTGGCTTCTTGAGTATTCTTCCTTTCCTTTGATGTCCATACTTGCACACTAAAATGACTAAATATCTGACAAGACTCTTTCAACTTTAAAGTCACACACACACTAACAGTTCTACATCTAAGAGTTACTGTGTATACCAGCATCCTTGAGAATAATACAATGTCTAGGCAAGGATATTCATCATGTTGCTTTTTTTTTTTTAAAGATTTATTTATTTATTCATATAGAACTGGGGTACAGGCCAGAGATGCGGAGGGTGAGAGGATTCACCAGAGACAGAGTGGGGAACAGAACAGGCAGATCGACTGAAATACACTGCTGAGGGAACAATGGGGGGCCAGGAGAGGTCTGCCGCGCCATGTGGACTCCTCCGGGGCAGGCGGGAATCGAACTCATGAGGAAGTGGCTTAAGCTTCGTAGTGCAGTGCTTTAGCCCGCTGCGCCACCAGGGAGGGACCATCATGTTGCTTTTTTAAAAAATATTTATTTTTATTAACTTATGCATATAAGAACTGGGGTGTGGGCAGGTGAGAGGCTTTTCCAGAGGCAAAGTGAGGAACAGAACATACAGGCCACTAAAATATACTGCTGAGGAGAACAGTGGGCGAGACAGGAGCAGTCTGCTGCACCATGTCAGGTAGCTCCCTGGCCAGGGATCCAACTCTTGCCAGCACTGAGACTCTAAACCTTGTGCCACGAGGGAACCCCATTCATCTTTCTTAAAAATAATTTACTCTTTCCACAAGACCTACAGTCTCCTCCCCTTTCCCTATCAATTGGTATTTAATCTTAATTCTAAACCACCTTGGGGAGTTAATGTTTTTCCCTGGTATCTCTCAAATGTACATAATGTGCACATCTTCCTCACTCTCCAGTTTGTCTAAATTTTATCCCATCACTGAGCATTTTTTCCTTCTGCAATAGCAAAGCTGCTTCTTGCTCTATGTTGCTTTCAGGTATTTTGCTCCTAAAATACCCACGGGAAGATGACCTGTTTCCCATCTTCTTACATTATATCCTGATCTAGTTCTTGCCTTCCTCTGTCAATGCTCATCTAGTCATCATTATGTAAAGTGTACTGAAATATTTCCATATACTTCCTGTCTGACTCCATTTTCTCCCTTCATAAGCCCAAATCCACGACGTTCATATCTCCCTAAAGCTGTCTGAGCCTGGGCTCAGTCTGAGGAAATCCTAGTGTGCTTCTCACCAGTTCAATCAGAAATCCATGCCTCATGCAGTCTGGCAAAGAGAGGGCTGCTGCAGGCCTCAGGAAGGGGGTCCTGCCTGCTTTCCCCAAGATTCCTCATCACCTGGCTTTACAGTCTTGTTTCTACTCAGCAGCCCTGTCACTTAAAGGAAGTGTGTTTGCTGCTCCTGAGATCTCTGTGCTGTGTTGGTGGTTATATGGGTTGACCTGGAAGCCTAGGGAGTCTGATTGTGCTGACAGAAAAGCAAGAAGCTGATCTAGTATGGAGATTGGGTCAGAACTAGGGTGAGGTAAGTGAGGTAAGATTTAAAGTGAGTCATGCAATTTGGGGGTCTTCTATTTTAAAATATTTTTACTTAATTTTTTGAGTTTGCCATGAATTTTTGTGTGTTAAATTGGAGTTGTTAAAATATTTCATTAGAATAGTAGTTGTCTTGGGCCTCCCTAGTAACCTAAGGAGTCAAGTCTCAATTCTATGAAGCAATCCACAGCCACTGCAGCACCGAGTTTGATCCTTAGCCTGGGAGCTGACCCACATGGCACAGCAGACCTCTCCTGACCTGCCCGCTGCTCCCTTCAGCAGTGTGTTTCAGTAGATCTGCCTGCCTATTCTGCTCTGCACTCTGTCTGTGATGAATCATCTTACCCCCTGCACTTCTAGCCTACACCCAGGCTCTTGTATGCATAAATAAATCTTTTTTTTTTTTTAAATAATTGTTGTCTTGATTACTGAGTTGATCGATACCCTCAAGGTGAAATCCTGCTCTCCTCACCCTAATCCATGCCTTCTCCTGGCTCTGAGGCAGGTCACACAGGGCCAGGACAGAGCTTGGTTTAATTCTCTACTGTCTTGAAATTCTTAGTGAGTTTTGAACAAAAGACCTGCATTTTCGTTTTGCAGTGAATCCTGCAAATTTTATGTGGCTGGTCCCTGGTCAGCCAAGTACATTTAAAATTGAAGGGAAAAAAATCAGCTTGTATTTACTTTTGCTGCAGGGAAAACTGCAGTTGCAGCTTTCATTGTACTTTCTTAGTTCACTTAGTCATTCATTCCACTTAGACCAGCAACAGAGCTCTGGCCCCAACTTCCTGGTATGGCTTCTTATTAGAAACAATGTTTGGATTTGAGCTACTTTCTGGGGAGAAAATGCACACTGCCTTCTCTCTGGAACTATGTCTGGAGACTGCTTGGTTCTGTGATTCATCAGAAATAAGAAAAACAAACACTGTAAATGGAGAACTTGAAAAACAGGTGGGCACCATCTCCCCACCCAAGAGAATGGATTTAAGGGGAAACTTGTTTATGAGATGAGGTTTTAAAAGACAACCTGGAGAATTTAGCAAAGATGTAAATAAACAACTTTTCCTGGGATTGCATTAGGCTTCAGAATAAATATATTAACCAGCTCCAGTCAAAGTCTGCCTCCAATCTGACCTTGACGAGACCCAGTGGCTGTCGCCACCCATCCCCCCAGACATCAGGCAGCTTTCCCTATGGTAGGTCTACCTCAAAACAGGCCCCAGCTTCCCTCCCACGAAGTGAAGGTAAGCAGAGGCCCATCACATCTCCTCTGAGTGCTGCCTCCTTGGCTACCCCCTGGAAAGCCTGTGGTAGCCAAGAGACCCCAGGCTTGTTTTCACATGGTGTAGTCATCCATAGCTAGATACGGACTCACATCTATTACCCACCAGGGGTACTGACTCGCTGTCAGCTGCACACAGCCCAGGTCTGTGGTCACTTCCCATTCTGTGCAGGCACAAGCTGACACATTTAACCCAGCCCAACAAAGAATGTGCCTGGACCCAGCAGGTGACATAGAACTGGCAGAGGGAAAAGGATGTGCTTAGTGGCCCCCTCAGGGTTGCCAGCATCCCTACTGGGGGACTGGAGTTTGCATTTTCCCTACCTTCACATCTTTCTCTTCTTTTGTTCCCTGCCTACACCCAGCCCCCTTTATGAAAACGTATGAAGTATTTCCATGGTATGATTCAAATTATTATTTCATGTATTTAAATACCTTACCACGTAGACCACACAGAAAACATGTAACCCATGGCGAGGCAATTAAAGTATTACTAAAAGGTGGTTGAGTAGAGCCTTTCATAGTATTTGGAAGGAATTTTAAGAATTTTTTTTTTTAATCTTGCGTCCCCCATCTTTGGCAGACTAACTCAATCACATTCAACTATCAATCCTGACTTTCTGAAAATAAATATGAAATAATATATAAGGTACTTTGTACTGGGGCAGGGCAAGCTACATTCATTGTATAGTTTTTTGATGTACATTTTCCCCCCATAAGGTTAGAGAGTAGAGGAATAAATGAGATTTTTCCTTGGGGAAAATCATTATACTAGGCACATCAATGTCCTATTATGTAATCCCCACAAAAATCCTAAACAATGGGCATTATGATTCTTATTTGGAAGATGGGAAAACTGAGTCTCAGAATGTTTAATTTCACAAGTGTTAAGAGCAGACTTCAAATGTGGATCTATTTGACTTTTTAAAGTTTGTGTTCTTTTGTACCATATTCCTTCCTTTTACTTTTTTCTCTGGCTTTTGCTTGTTATGGGGCCAGGAGATGAAGTAAAGTCATCGTTTCACCCTTTTATTACACACTAGGGGCCTTGAAAGTTTCAGTGCTGGGGGCTACCCTTCAGCTCATCTGAAGCCTTTGGGTTACATAAAGTTTCAAGGGAATTCATCAGTAGCCTCTGTCATTTCAAGTAAAGCAGTCCTACTTCAGAAGTATATACAACAGTAGTTAACTGTCACTGAGCATTAACCATATGCTAGGAAATGTTCTGGACTCTTTCTTATTGTGCTATTTAATCCTTAGCATGGAACTTGGAGATGGTGCACAGCAATTATTCTCCCAGATTTGCGTACAAAGAAACAGATTTAGAAGTGAGGAATATACCCAGGCTAAACCCCCAGATTTTAGACTATCTGTTCTCTTCCAAAGCCAGATCTCAAAGATCAATGAGATCTTGGCCACTTAAGGAAATCCCTACTTGGCAGAGATCTTCCCCAACAGGGTGAACAAAGAGTATTTTTGCTTCAATCAACTGATACATAAAAATGCTGATTTATTAAAATGGGCAGGAAAGACAGATCTACCTGAGAAGTACTTATGCAACTGTAAGAAAATAATTTGAAATATATGAAAGAAGGTATTTGAAAGTTGGTGGCTTCAGAGCTCAGCTCTATCACTATTGAAAAATACCTGTGATGATCAATTTTGTCCATAAAACTTTGCATCTCTATTGCTTCTTGGAATTAAACCTAAAAAATATAAATATGAGAGTAAAATCTATTCTTTTTAACACTGCATAGTGATTCCTACATGTATATGGATATTCTATGTATATGGACATTCCATTCCATTCAAGTTCTTTAAAGTAACACACACTTCCAGCCTATACACTATTGAATTTTTGTTTCCCTGTTCAATCTAGAATAATCAGCACATAAACTGTCAGTTTGCCTGAACACTGGCTCTACTGTTTGCTGAGACATGTCACACATCTTTCAATAATGACAGGGGGATAGAAAATACTGAGATGCTTTTTATGAGGGTTAAATTTGCTAGCTGCTTAATCCAATGCCAGACAAAGTAAGCATCCAACAAGTGTCAACCCTGTTATTTGTATTGTTATTAATATAATTCTTTACTTGGAAATAATAGGTAATTCCATTCCTTAGCTTGATCATTGCTGGACAGCACTGAATGAAAATTGTTTACAAGTTTCCAATATTTTTTTATCTAGTTAATGACAGGAAATGGCAGATCTTGTTTAATAAAAATGCCAGAAATGACAGGGGCATTGTTTAAGATATGTGGCAGCAAACTTTTATTAGTGATTTCTAAAAACTGAGACTCAAGCAGTTACAACCAACATTTCAAACTGATTTGCTTTCAGTGAGCACTGTACTGAAAAGCTGGTAAAATGTTATAGGGTCATAAGATGGTGATGTCCCTTATCAATCTAAGATTCTTAATTTTTTAAAGTCTTTTTTCTTTTTAAAGATTTATTTTATTTTTTATACATACAAGAGCTAGAGTAGGCTAGAGGTGCAGAGATGAGAGGATTTACCAGAGAAAGAGTAAGGAGCAGGATGGACATATTGACTGAAAAACACTATTGAGGGGAGCAGTGACTGAAAAACACTATTGAGGGGAGCACCATGTGGGTCACCTCCCTGACTGGGGATCAAACTCATGCTGCAGTGGCTGTGGGTAGCTTCAAAGTGCTGTACTTAACCTCTTTGTGCCACCAGGGAGGCCATGAAAGTCTTTCTGAAAAAAAAAAAAAAATTATTTGTTTTTACATAGAACTCAGGTACAGGCCAGAGGTATGGATGGTGAGAATATCCACCAGAGGGTATCTTAACTTCCTTTAACAAAAAGAAAAACTGTGCCTTGTTTGTGTTGTACTGTTGTGGTGAGACTGAAATAGAGCAGACTACTGACATCTAACAGAGTTAATGAGAACGACAAAAACAAACCAATAAAACTAGGGAGGATTTTAGGTAGGAGGTATTAGTGATCACAGTGGCTTCTCCAGGGCTTCTGGGCCGTGTGAGCAAGTAACTCAATGATGGCAATTCCGGTACCTGGAATTCCAGCATGGTCTTCCCCATGTTAGACTCCAACATGTAGTGATAAGCTCCAATGCTCGTACTGGGGTCATCAGCGTCATCTAAAGTGCCCTGTGAAGGAGAACAGAGAAGCGTTTCAGATGTCTCCGCCTCTTCTTTGGGATGTCACAAATTAATCCTGTGCATTTGGGTTGGATCAAGATGTAGCATATACACACAATGGAATACTATCCAGCAATCAAAAAAGATAAACTCATGCCATTCTCAGCAACATGAGTGGAACTGGAAGGAATTATGCTCAGTGAAATAAGTCAGAAGGAAAAAGAAAAATATCAGATGATTGTACTTATAGGAGTATAGGAAACCAAGTAAGGCAGGTATGGGGGGGGGAATTATAAAAAGCACAGCAAAAGTAAACGAACAACTATTAACCAGAGACATTCTGCCGGGGCGGGGGGGGGGGGCAGGGGGGAGACAGGTAGGAATGCCAGAGGGAAGAGCAGAGGATGGTGCAGGCATGAAATGGTGGTAGAAATTCTATGTGGACTACACCTGAGAAAAGAAAGCAAATACTGTTTAAGAAATGAACAATGGTGTAAAATATATATAAGTAAGAAAAACAACAAATTAATCCTCTGGCCCCAGAGCCAGCCTCCTATTACTGCCCTAAGTCTTCCAGGGCACATTCTATATTCAAAATCCCAGCTGATGTAGGATAAAATCCTTTTAATCTTCAGAATATGCAGAATAAGGAGGATTTTGTAATCAAATGAATTCTAGCTTTTGATTAAAATGGAAACTGATTGTATATTTGCTGAAAGGATAATTTTTCCAGGGCTAAAACTCCTATAACTTTGTACAGGGAATTTGTTGGTGGCAATGATGTTTAAGTGGTTGCCTGGAGAGATCATTTTCATCCACAACTGAAATTTTGATGCTGCTGCCTTGGGTTCTGATAATAACCAGGCGAGATGCTATAACTGACAGGAAGAGAAATGGGTACCATTTACATTTTACTACCATGATTCTTAATGGAAGCTTTTCATAAGATGCTGGTGTTGGCCTGGAGACAGAGTTCTTTGTTTATGTACTTTTTTTTCATTTCTAGACCTTTCAATCTTTAGGAAACAAGGTGGCTGGGTGTGGTTAGGGGGACTGGTGGTATAAGTGCTAACACAAGCTTTGGAATGGGCTTGGGGCCTGCCTTCAAAATCCCACGGTCCTGAATTCCTGGGAAGGTGGGCAGTGGTTTTGTGAGACTGAACTAACAACTGCCAGCATCAGATAGCAGCAAATTTATAACTTTTGAATGCAATAACATTAACACACTGCTGCTGAAATATTTATGTTGGCTTTTAAAATATCCCACAGGAAATCCATCCAGAAGCCTGCAAACCATATATATTCTCTTTCCTTAGAAATTTCTATGAAAAAATGATAAATTACATTTACACTGAAGGCCCCTCCCTACTGCTGAGTAAATTCCACACATATAAATCAGGCATCATTTTCTTAACTTCTCTTCCTCAAAAGCCCTTCAAATATACATACTGAGAACATAAAGGCTTCCTTTCAACCTCAGAGCAGATAGAGAACAGAGTTCCCTGCCATTGCCCTGCCAGGTCCACCATTTCCTGTCCCCTGCCCCCTCCCTCATCTCTCTATATGACAAGCCTTAATGAGAGGGAAAGGAGCTAAATTCCACAGCTACTGTGACGTCCCTTCATGATCAGGAGCTTCACGGGAAAGACAAAACCTTTCCAGTCAGTTTAGAGGAATTAGAGAAAGAAAATCTCAGAGAGGGTTTCTCCATGCTAGCAGGGAGTTCAGGAGATGGCTAATACCTTTGTTGAGGCCAAATTATTGCCCTTGGAGGACCTGCAGGGAGATACCTGTCATAGGTGAGGACCTCCATGGTTTATAATTTGGAGGCAACGATGGTCAGGAAGGCAAAATAATTCAGGGGTGAATCATCCATTCTGGATTGCTCAGTGAACATCCCAGCTAAATTTCCAAGACATGCATTTTTGGTCTTTAACAGTTGGCATTTAATTAAAACTGTTACAGCAATTTCCAGAGGCCTCTGAAAGAAATGATTTCTATTAAACATGATAATTCTGATCACTAACAAATAATGGGCATGTAACTTTTCCCATCTCAGCAGTGAGAGTTTCCTTAAAAATACAAATTGCAGAACCCCAAAATGACTTAGGAATATATGGACTTTAAAAAATATTTATTGTGATTTATTTATTTGTGCATATAAGGACTAGAGTGTAGGCTAGAGGTGCAGGGGGGTGAGAGGATTCACCAGAGACAGAGTGGGGAGCAGAACAGGCAGATTGACTGAAATACACTGCTGAGGAGAGCAGCAGGTGAGACAGGAGAGGTCTGCTGTGCCATCTGGGTCAACTCCCTGGCTGGGAATAGAACTCAGGCTGGCCTTATTGTCTAGTGATGGCTCGATAGTGCTGACACTTTAACCCCAGGGAGGCCCCAGGAATAGACACCTTAAATAAGCATTTCAGATTATTTTATGACAAATCAAGCTGCCAGTGATAAACTGTGCTAGTTTATCACTGACTAAAGCAGTATTCAACTGTACTCAAGCATTCTCAAGGCCTGAAAAAATCAGCACTTCAGAAACATCAAACATGCAAATAACAAATTATCTACCTTGATTGAATGCTTGATTAGCTGTGATCCAGGGAGGCTAACAAATATCCCTGAATTGTGGTATAGGGAACCAATTCTAATTTCATAATTTCCAATGGAATTACTCTTTTTTTTTTCTGGGAAATTAACAACTTAATGGGGTAATAATGAAAGCTGCACACTTTTAAAGAATTTTCTCACTTCAGCATCCCCCAAGAGCCAAACACCTCAGTACTTTCAGTGTAGCCAGCTCCCCACTTCCCTGGTGGGCACTTACGCTGGTGGAGGCAACGGCTTCCTGTACACTCTCCATAATGAATTCCTTGGTGATCCTGCGGGAGGGCAGCTCATTGAAGAGGGAGTTGATTAGAGCCACTTTAGCTGCATCACGTCTGGCCTCAGCTCTACTTAAGCAGCACTTGAGAAGGGAAGGAGAAAGGAGTCATTAAAAGATTCAGCATCTCACCACTTCATCCCTGATTCAGTGGGCCTCTCGACATTCTATTCACACATTTGTTGTCTGCACCTTTTCTTTCATGCCCACTGCTAATCTCCTGAAAATCATGCAGATTTTTGTTCAACGCCAGAACCCATGCAACGGTCTTGGTCTTCCAATGCTTTATGTCTCCTATCACTGCCTTGGAATGTCTACTATGCACCAAAGGTTTTGCATATTTGGTTAGTACATAATAATAAAACAATGCCCATTGTTGTGTAACAGGTTATAAGGGCCTTCCTCGAATCCTTACTTCAGAAGGAAAAAATGTAAGTAAAAAAGAAAAATGGCGATTCTTTTAATTCAGTAATTGAGAATACAGTTTCTGAAGTCACTGCTTGGATTCAAATTTCAGCTCTGGCGAGTTAGATTTCTGTGCCTCAATTTCACCCTCAGTATGGGATTAATAGTAGTAAGAATGAACTCAATCAGTTAACATAGATAAGCACTGAGGACACTCTATGTAGCAGCTCTATGAAAATGTGCTAGCCTTAAACTTTTTTACCTCCAGGATAGAAGGAAGATAATACTGCCAAAACCTGTTGTTTTTGTATTTCCAGTATTTATCCCTCACCTGTTTTCTAGCTACAACCCCTTTATTTTCTTGAGGACCACCTTTGTTCTTTTTTTGCTTTCATTCTATGTGGTTTGGGTGGTAACTGCTTCCCTTGACCTTCCTGAAGTTAGTAGCCATGGGCAACCTATGACTAGTAGTCCATAAGAGAGTTCATTTATCCCAAATGTCCTCTTGCTCTCCATCCTCCTAGCCTG